AAAAAAAAAAAAAAAAAAAAACCTAAACATAGATCAGGTGTGGTGGTGCAAGCCCAGAATCTTAGCATTCAAGAAGCTAAGGTGGGGAGGATTGAAAGTTCCAGGCCACCTGGGATATAAAGTGAAGTTTTTTTCTCAAAAAGAAAAGAAAGAAAGCCAGGCACTGGTGGCTCATGCCTGGAATCCTAGCTACTCAGGAGGCAGAGATTAGGAGGAAATAGTTCCAGAAACCCTATCTCAAAAATACCCAATACAAAAAAGGGCTGGCGGAGCGGCTCAAGTGACAGAAAGCCTGCCTAGCAAGCGTGAGGCCCTCAGTTCAAGCCCCAGTACCACACACACACACACACAAAAATCTAAACATGGGGTTACCATGTGACGCAGCAATTCCACTTAAATATGTGCCCATGGTTGGTTGTGAGATTGCACATGTAATCACAGCACTTGAGGGGCTGAGGATTTCAAATTGGAAGCCACCTTGAGTTCCAGGCCAGGCTGGGCTTTATAGACTTTGTCTCAAAAAGAGAGAAAGAGAGAGGGAGAGAAGAAGAGAAAAGAATGAAAGGGAGGGAGGAGGAATAAGAAAAGAAAGGAAAACACCATCATCCATACAGAAACCTATATATTTATGCTCACAACAGCCTCATTCACAACAGCCAGAATGTGGACACAAGGCAGCGTCCACAGATGGATGAGTGGATACACAGGGTGGTCATTGACTCTGGAGCAGCCCTCAGCCATGAACAGGATGAGGCTCTGACACACACCATAGGGAGAGACCTCTAGGACACCATGCTCAGTGAGAAAACAAGATACATGGTCCCATTGATAGGAAAAATTCGTAACAGGTGAATCCAGAGACAAGAAGTAGATTTGTGGGTGCCAGAAACTGGGGACGGGACAGAGTGCTCATGGAGTCAGGCTTCCTTTGGGGTGATGGAATGTTCTGGAATTAGAGGTAGTGGTTGCACAATTCTGATGAACTAATGACCCGGAATGACATACTTTAAATGGGTGATTTGTATGGTATGCAAATTATATTTCAATGAAGCTGTAATTAAACAAACCAACTCAGACACCAAAGGCACGGCTGGCCTCCCAGACTTATGTCCTGTCCTCTTTCACAGGGGCCCAAAAAATGTCCTTCAGGGTGCAGGTGGACACTACAGGAAGAGAGACCTGAGTTTCTAGCTGCCCAGGAAGGCAGAGGGCATTAATTTGGCACCACATGTAGCTCTACCAGTAAATTACTGGATTCTGTTTACCCTTCCAGGCACCCCTTTCCTGGTCCACTTCACAGAGGAAGAGCCGAGGTATGGGACTTCAGGTGGCCTTGGGGTGCAAGTGTAGGAAGCAGGGTTGTGCTGGACCCAGGCATAGATATGTCCTCACCCCAGATCAGGCCTGGGCCCTGAAAAGGTCACCAGTCCCACCCCCTAGGTAACCTGCCCAGGGCCAGGAAGAGTTGGGGATCCCCTGAGCCACCAGAAAGGAATCCTGGCACCCTGCAGGACCGGTTGTCCCTCCAGAGGGCTCACCAGAAGGCCAGTTTGTCAGCATGTCCTCACCCTGGTGCTGTTTAAAGGTGCTGCTTGGGGAGGGCCAACAAGATGGGCTTTGGGAAGTAGCAGGAACTGGGATCGGGGTTGTGTGGAGCCCAGGTCTCCACCCCCTCCTGTCAACGACCCCTCTTGACTGTGTCTGAAGATCTTTGTGGCTCACTGTTCGCCAATGGGCAGGAGTGGGTGAACACGGCTCTCAGCTGGGTGTGGCTGTGTTGGGGAGCAGGTGTGGGTGTGGACACAATGCCCCATTCCTGCGGCTCTGATGTGCACCTAGGATGCTGGGACAAGCACTGGCCTTGTCACCCATGCTGCCTCCCTCTCTAAGACTGCCGAAACCCAGCCCAGGGTCCCATGTCCCTCCCCCAATGCCCACCCTCTCCACCCAGAACAGAGCCCCTGCCCCAGGCCAGCCTCAGAAGCTCTACTTTAGAGGAAGACAAGTCTCTGGGCATGCCCAGTCCAGCTGGCACAGCCTAACCCACCTGCTGGAAACTCCGTCTCAATCTCTGACCCCCACCATCTCCATTTCTATCTCTCCGTCTCTCGGTTGCCACTTCTCTCTGTCCCTCAGTCACTGTCTCTAGTAGCTCTGTTTATCTCTGTTTCTCATTTCTCTGGTCTCGGTTTCCGTCTGATTTTTTTCTTGCCTGTCTCTGTCGCCGTCACTCAAGTCTCTTGTCTCCTCTCGTTTGTCTCTTTTTTATCTTTGTCTCGGCGCCGTTCTCGGATCTCTGACTCTCTTGTCTCTGTCTCTCCCCTCTGTCTCCACCTCCCGCCCCCGCACTCGCACCCTGCAAGCCGCTGGGTGATGAGCACGTGCAGAGCTTCAGCCCGAGACAAACAAGTAAATGAGGCCTGAGCTGTCACGAGAGCAGCTGCCGCTGGCCCCGCCCCGCCCGCTGATGCCCATTGGCCCGCCTCGACCCGCTGCCCCGCCCTGAGATCCTCATTGGCCTCACGGCGCTAGGCGCCCCGCCCCCGTCCACACCAGGGCAGAGTCGTGGACGCGGTAGGCGAGGCGGCAGTGAGCCGAGCTGGCGCTAGCCATGCGCCACCGCCTCTGGCTTGGCCTGGCCTGGCTGCTGCTGGCACGGGAGCCCGGTGCGGCAGGGACCCCAAGCGCGCCGCGGAGACCGCGAAGCTACCCGCACCTGGAGGGCGATGTGCGCTGGCGGCGCCTCTTCTCCTCCACCCACTTCTTCCTGCGCGTGGACTCCAGCGGCCAGGTGCAGGGCACCCGCTGGCGCCACGGCCAGGACAGTGAGTGCCCGGGGAAAGCGGGCGGCAAGGAGGCGGCTAACAGCAAGGGTGGCAGTAATATGAACGGGGTAGCGCTCACCGAGTCACGCCCCTCTGGGTCTTAAGTTTCCTCCACCGTAAGATGAGCACAACCGCCTGGGAGGATGGTTGAGTCAAGTCTCCTGGTTCCGCTGCAAAGAAGGGTCTGGTGAAATAGTGCGTGTACATGGGGAGACTGAGGCTGCAGAAAAGGCTGTGTCTACCCAGTTGGATCAGTACGGTGGAGACTGATGCTCAAGTCAGATCATGAGGTGGTGTCTCCTGTTTTTTCCCTGACACCCCATCTGGTAGATGAGGAAACTGAGATGGGGAAAGACCTGCCACAGGTCCTGCCAAGAGGGGGCAGTAGGGCTAGGGCTCCACAGTGTCCAGAACCTCTGCTGTAACTCCTGTTATGCCATGGTCCCTGGACTCTGCCCAGCATACAGTAGGCACTCAAAGTGCTTATGAAATACATGTGGCAAGAGGAAAAGCCAATGCAAAGAGGAGGAAGCTGTGGATGACTGGGAGGCTGGGGTCAGCTTCCAGACAGCCCGGAGGTCTGGCAGGGGAGCTGTGGAGGGGACCAAGCTCATCTGTGGCCACCTGAATCATCACCATCAGGGCGGGTAATCACCCTCCTGTCCCAGCGGCTTTCATCTGGGCTCCAAGGCACTCATTAGGCTGCACGCGACGAGGGCCATGACAGGGGACTGGCCAGGCAGGTCCATCCATGGTAGCATGGCCAGACAGGGTGGCCTCAGGCTGGGGAAGAGGCCTAGCTCCAAGTGAGCTAGGACAGTCACTACTTCTCTCTGAGCCTCTGTTTCCCCATCTGGTCAGGGATGGGGGTGATGGATGATGGACAGCTCTGTGTGGACAGGGCTTGGGTCTCCTCTCTTAATTGAATTAGTGGTTATTAACTGGGCACCTCTTGTGTGCCATGCTGGGTATGGGGACCCAGTGGTGACCAAGATGGCCCACCCTCATGGGGCTCCCAGTGCCAATGAAGAAGGAGCAATGTAATCATTTCAGAGAGGCTAAGTGGTCGGCCCATGTTCCTGGCACAAGAAAATGGTAGCTGGGGGTAGCCACAGCCACTTCATATGGAGCTGGGGTGGGGCCTTTCTGAGGAGGCTGAGCCTGGAATAGTGGCAAGGAACTGACCTTGCACAGGCGGAACAGTGTACTAGCAGAGAGAACAACAAGTGCAAAGGCTCTCCCTAGGGTGAGGATGAGGGGTAAGGACTAGGAGTGAGGGCAGTGTAGGTGATGTGTGGCTGCAGGCCTTCAGATCTAAGCCAAGGACCAGAGGATGACACCTGAATTCTGGTGTGAGGCTCTTCCAAACCCTTTGCTGGAAGGGGAGTTGCTGCTTGGACAGACTCTGAGTGGGCTCTGTAACTCCTAGACCTCAGTTCCCCTCTGGGAAGTGCACTTTCAGCTACTCCCACCTGGAGCTGTGTGAATTCCATGATAAACAGAGCAGAGAAAGTCTGGAATATAGTTGGCACTCAAGCACTGCCTGGAAACGCCATTGCCTGTGCTAGGCCTGAGACCTGGAGCTCTATCTTGCCTGGAGCTGCCATCATTGCCCAGGACTGGGATCGTGTTGTTGGGCTGGAGGTGTAGGCTGGGCAAGGATGGCAAAGCAGCCAGATGTGTGGCCTGTGGTCACTGCTGGTACCACAGCTGACTCTGTTGCTGTCAGCTGCTGGCCCAGGGCTGCCCAGGACACAATGGACCCTCGGGGACCTGCCCTTAGTGTGGTTCCCTTGTCCGGTGGCACCTGGCCTGCTTCCAGCTTGCATGCTGCATTGGTTGAGGCACACAAGCGACACTGACCACCTCCACTGCTACAAAGCTGGCCTGGCTCCCCAAGCCCTTGGGGTCCTCCTGCTATGCTGCATTCCCCATCTGTGGCCTCACTCACCAGGGTCTCTTCTGCCACTCGTGCTGGAGTCCAGGGAAGCTCTAGGATGTCTGTCGTGTCCATCTTGGTTCCCAACTGCCCCACACCAGCTGGGCCAGGTGCACAGTGGTGCCAGAGGTTGTGACCTGTGTGGAAGGACAGACATCGAAGCCAGGGAGGAGAGGAACCTTGGGGTTCTGCTTGACCCAGCCCCCTTCTCTGCCCCAGGTGTTGTTGAGATCCGCTCCGTTCACGTGGGCACTGTGGTCATCAAGGCCGTGTACTCAGGCTTCTATGTGGCCATGAACCACCGGGGCCGCCTTTACGGATCGGTGAGTACTGGGGGGCTGTGTGGGCAGTGGATGGTGGGAGGCAGCATCCACTGGCCTCACACTCCTCCCCTGCAGCGGGTCTACACTGTTGACTGCAGGTTCCGGGAGCGTATTGAAGAGAACGGCTACAATACCTATGCCTCGCTTCGCTGGCGCCACCATGGTCGGCCCATGTTCCTGGCACTGGATGGCCGGGGATCACCCCGGCAAGGTGGCCGGACAAGGCGGCACCACCTGTCTTCCCATTTCCTCCCTGTCCTAGTCTCCTGAGGCCCCAAGAAGAGGCTGTAGACAGACTCAAGAGAAGCAGACCGGATGGAGGGTCTAGAGGAAAGGGAGCCACTGGCAAGGGACTGAGGAAACTGTGTGGGAACCCAGACCCTGACTGCATACCTGTTCTTTCATTCACAAGCTTTAACTGGGTGCCTACTGAGTGCTAGGGGAGTCCAGCCCTCAGGACGCACCTGTCTAGGTGATGCAGCCAGTGAGCACTTACCCCATGTCAGTTTGGGGGCAAGGAGCCACCCAGGCATATCCTGGACTGTAGGCCATGGGGCGCAGCTGTCAGGCCTGTGACATGCTCTGGACAAGCACAGTATAGGCAAAGGCTCGGAGGTGAGGATACACTAAGTGGTTAGGGTCAATGAGGACAGGGAGGGTCAAGGAGGTGGGTGGGCAAGCTGCAGAAGGCAAAGCACACAGGGCCCAGGGACAGCAGAGATAGTGAGGCAGATACATCAGCCCCATGTGGTTGGCAAAACAATCCCAGAATTGTCCTCGTCCCTGGCCTCACAGCCTGTGGACATGTCACTTCATGTAACAGAAGGGACCTTGAACTGGGATCATATGGGGCCCAGTATCCCCACAGGATCCTCATAAAGAGGGAGGTGGGAGGATCAGAGGTTGGGAGACGTTGTGCTGCTCTGAAGAGGAAGGGGCCACAAGCCGAGGGATGCCAGGCGTATGGAACCTGATCAGGTGGGATGTAGATCCTTCTTATCCATCACCAGGAGGGACCATCTCTGCACCACCTGGACAGTAGTCCAGCAAGGCCCGTGTCAGGTTCCTGACCCTAGAACCATCAGATAATAAATATTTTAAGCCTTCAGGTGTGTGGTCACTTATCTTAGCAGTAGAAATGCACAGGATGCATGAGTGCTTTAATGCAAGAGTCTCAGGGCTGCCTGGCTCCAGTAGGAAATGTGAAGGGCTTCATGCCAATGTCCTGTGGGGCCTGGCCCTTTGTGTCACACTTGGCAAGTGTCATCCCTTCTGCTAAACTGCCCTCAGATTCCTCCAGTATCTCCAGCCTTTTTCCTGAGTTTCCCTCCAGGCTGGACATGGCTGGCTCTCATTTCCCATGGCGCAGGCAGCTTTGGCTGCTTAATGAGCAGCGGTATGCTGAAGTCAAGCCTCCTCTCCCAAGGATTGCAGAACTCAAAGCTCCTGTTTCCACAGGAAAAGCAGCCTGACTGTGAGCCTGGGCTCTGCGGCAGGGCAGAGGTAGAGGGCAGTCAACAGCCTGCTGGGTCTCCACTGGTTTCTGCACTCTGGAGGTTGGAAGTCCTAAAACACTAAGGATGATCAGGACAGTTGCCTCATCTCTGCAGCATCTTTAATCTCCTCAGAGAGGTCCCATGTAGCTAGCAGGCTCTGGTGTTAGGATGTGGCATCTGTGGGGCCACAGCCATAGTCATCAGTCAGTGTGTGTCTCACCATCCTGCAGCCCATCCTGCAGAAGCCCAGGAAACACTTGGTGCTGCAGATGGGCATGGGTGGGGTACTGAACCATCCAGCTCTGCAGACTAATGTGGAACCATGGAAGGATGGGAGGGGGTTTCGTGTAGAGAAGCTGGGACAGGGGGGGTAGGTGTGTGAGTTGGAGGAGTCCCTTTCCACACCACCCCACACTGGAGACACAGGACTGTAGGGCACTGGGAGCTACTGCCAACAGCCCCAGTGCCTGGCCAGCTGTGCCCAGGCAGACACACAGGCACTGCTGGAGCAGCTTCACTTGCTGCTGGTTGATGCTAGCAAGTCCTTCTGAGCAGTGTGGAGGGTCCCAGAGCACCTGATACGCCACTGTGCCTGTGAGAGAGCCAACCTGGGTGTTTTGGTATCCAGACCCTGCCAGCTGAATTCTGCCTCTTTTTGGACCTGGGCTGAAATCTGGTCATGGGGTGGACAGCCTCAGCTTCCCTTGTAGGCGGCACAGCCCCAGAACAGGCGAGGCTGTCCAGCCTTTTCAGGACACTCTGGCCACAAGGAAGACGCAAGCCACCAGCTCCTCTTTTCAAGTAGGTGTATTTTAAATAGCTTTCAAGATACACGTATTTCTCCCTTTACAAAATGTCCGTTGGAGCGGCTTGTTCCTGGTTCTGCTGGTCACCCTTATGGTCCCAAGGCCGGAGCTGGCTGTGTGGTGAAGGCCCTGGCCTCTGGTTTCCCAGGGGCTCATGGGTGGGCTGGGGCCATGGTTTGTCCTGGGGGGGCATGGCCAGGTGGAGTAGCTTTACCTGGCTCTCCAGAGATCATGTGTGGCCACGCATGGGCTAAAACGTCCATTTATTTCAAAGCAGTAATAATTTAAAATCATAAAAACCTTTCTGCCATGGAACATTTGGAGGGTAAGGTTCAAGACGGAAAGGAGGCGCCTGCTTGGGGACAGGTGGCCTGTGCCCCTCTGGCCGAGCACAGCCAGGTGCGGACTTCCCTCCAGGGGCTGCGTGCTCAGGCTAGGCCGAGTCCTGAGCTTGGCTATAGCCCAGGGCCCACCTGGTGCTGCTGGGACGGCAGAGCAGCAGCACCTCTAGTCCATGGGCCGTGGCGGTCTGGAGCCAATGCAGGTGTAAGGGGCTGAACTCTGCAGCAGCCTCAGCCAGGGTGGGGAAAAGGAGCCGAGTGCTCCCCAGAGGCCGGGGCAGCCAGCCTGGACTCAGGAGTTGCTCGTGGCGTTCTCGTTGCTGGGTGAGCTGGAGGAGGATGACGAGGATGATGATGAGAAGCTCACCCCAGTCAGGCCTGGGGGGTTGGTGGCTGTGTTCTGTCCTGTGAGGCTCTTACGGCAGACAGGGCAGCTGTCATGCTTGGGAAGGACAGATGTGGAAGAAGGTGGGATTAGAGGGGCAGAGGCAGGGTTAGAAGAGGAGATGGTACTGAAGAGGAAATAGGGTTGGTGAGGGAGGAGGCAGGGTTGAGGTCGCTCAGGAGGTAGGTAGTCGGCTCACCTGCTCTAGCCAGGGCACAATGCAGCCATCATGGAAGAGGTGGTTGCAGGGCAGTTGTCGCACGTTCTCACCCAGTGCATAGTCATCCTTGCATACAGGGCATTCAAGCCCGGAGCCTACAAGGAGGGAAGCAGATGAGATAGTGGAAGACCCCACGGGACCCTACCATTCAGGGTGTGCCCTGGAGTCTGCCCATGTTGGGACCTGTGCAGAGGCCTGGGAGGAACATCCCTTGAGAGGCCATGGGGAGACTCTACTGACCAGTCCCTCACCGTGGCTGCCCTCAAGCACACCTAGTGAGCCATACCTACGTGCTCCTCGGTGACAGGGACCGTGGGGAGGGCCTGGATTTTCTCCTTGTCTGCGGGCGGAGGACCCGTGTTTTCAAACTGATTGAGAAGCTGAAAGAGAAGAGGGAGAGGCTGGGCGCTCCTGGAGAGGGGTGGAGCCCCCCCCATAGCTCTGAAAAGCCAGGCCTCAGGACCACCAAGCACCAACTCTGTGAGATGCACTCAGAGCCCGCAGGCAGCCTGCTCCTCCTGCTCCCTGCCTGCCTGGCTCAGTGTGCCTCAGGACCTTCCAAGCGGGACACCATTGCCTTTGGCCCCTCCCCCTGGGCACACAGCTCTGGGAGGGTCAGGCCACAGTGGGCCTGGGTCCAGCCTCAGGAGGGTGGGCATCCTCTGAGGGAGGAAGGGGAAAACGGGATGCAACCATCAGGGCAGTTCTTTTTTTCCCCCCACGGTACTGGGACTTGAACTCAGGGCCTCCACTTGACCCATGCCACCAGCCCCCCAACCAGGCTTATTTTACTACCACCCCAAGGGACATCAGAAGAAACTGCCCCAGGGTTGTCAAGACTCAAAAAGGCCTCAGGCATAGAGTCCATGCTCCAACTCTTGGACTCAGCTGACTTCCAGATGTGGGGCCACAAGGGCAGCCCAGCTCCCTGTCCCCTTCAGGGATGGCCATCCTGTACCTGCGTGATGATGGCATCCAGGCCATTGGCCCCCCAGGCGTAGTCCATCGGGTTCGAGTGCAGGACGCCCCTGGGGGGAGAGGCCAGGTCAGGGGGCGCAGGATGGTGGGGGTGGGGTGCCCACCCACTACTCACCAGGGGCCCAGGCCCAGGTTGGGGATAGTGGCTGGAGTGATGATGCCATTGACCAGCTGCTGGATGATCCTAGAAGAGAGTGAGACCGTCACAGCGGAACCCATGGCACAGGCAAAGCTGGGCCACAGCCAGCTTTCAAGTGTTTTTGTTTTGTTTTGTTTTTGAGACAAGGTCTCCCTATGTATCCCAGGTTCCCCTGGAACTCCATCCTCCTGCCTCAGCTTTCTGAGTACTGGGATTCCAGATACAGGTCATTACGCCCAACTGTTTTAGGATTTTCAATCTTGATCAAGTAACAAATCTCACAGTCAAGCCTGACTGCCTTCAGACAAGCCATTTTTCAGTGTGTCTGCCTTCTTCACCAAATTCTATATATTTGTAGTAATGTCAACTATATGAATACTATCTTTGTGTAACACAAACACGAACAAAAAAGCAAATAAAGAAATACTCCAAAAATTCATCATTTTTGGAACAGTGAGACCATAGGTGATATTTTTTTTTTCTCTCCTCCCTTAGGGGAAAAAAAACCCAAGATTGTGAACAATAGGGTTGTGACCTAAATTTAACAGTTGCTAGGCATGGTGATTCACGCCTATAATCCCAGCATTTGGGGGGGATGAGACAGAAGGATCCAGAGTTCAAGGCCAGCTACATAACAAGACCCAGTCTCAAAAAAAAAACAAAAAAGTTTTCCTCTAAAAGAAGAGACAACTCATCAGTTCTTCTGACCTTGTTCTGGCTTTTCCACAGTTGCTTTTACAAGATATTTAAGAGTGAATAAAATAAAGTTCAAAAACTTTTGGACTGGCCTGGTGGAGTGGCTCAAGCAGTGGAATGCCTGCCTAGCAATCATGAGACCCTGAGTTCATCAAACCCCCAGGACTGCCAAAAAAAAAAATGTTTTGGACTGGGCACAGTAGCTCACATCTATAATCTCAACTGCTTCAGAGGTGGAAATCAGAAGGCTTGGGATTTGAGGACATTCTAAGCAAAAAGTTAGCAGAACCCTAATTCAATGAACAAACTGGGCATGGTGGCATATAACTGTAATTCCAGTTATGCTGGAGACATAGATAGAAGGAATGAAATCTGAGGCCAACCTGGGCAAAATTCAAGACACTATCCAAAAAATAACTAAAGCAAAAAGGACTGGGGACATGGCTCAAGTGGCAGAGTGCCTGCCTAGTAAGCACGAGGAACCGAGGCCCAGTACCTACCCCATCCCCAAGACACCACAATGAAAAAGAGCCCAGTGATGAGGCCAGTCAAGCGCACTTCTAAAGTTCAGTGAGAACAAGGCACTATAACCCCAGGTAGCTGGACAGTGCCACATGGTTTCTCAGGCTGTGGGGCTGCTCTGCAGCCCGAGATTGGGCACACTCTTGCCTCAGAAGGGCCAGCGGGGCTGTGGGTCCAGGGACCCAGGAACCACAGCTCCCACAGCAGCCAGGCCGGCTTTCAAGGGGCCAGGCAAAAAAACAGGCTTCAGCACAAGTGCCACAGTCTGAATGTCCCATTGTTCTAGTGGGGCCCTCTCCGGCCACTCTGGGTCCCCTCACCCTTCCAGCGTGGGGACGCCTTCGTGCCGGCCGGTGGCCCGCCGGGCGGTGAGGCGGGCGCGGGGCTGCCGGGCGCCATACCGATGCCGGGACTGATGTTCTCTCTCCCGCCGGCTCTCAGGGTCCCTGCCATCGTTGGCTTGTCCCCCAGGAGGGAACGTGGGGATCTCAAAGCTGTCGTCAAAGATGCCGAAAGCAAACTGTCCATAGCCCTGGGGCAGCGTGAACAGATGCTGGTCCACGTTCTGAGGAGAGAGGGGTGCCCTGAGTCTGCATGGTCTGCTGGGCACTGTGTGCACCTGCAGGGTAGGGGCAGGGGGATTGGTAGGCCACGAAGCTCTATACCCAGAAACTCTAAGATCAACTCCACATTCATGTCTGCTATGGGGAGGAGGGCAGGAAGACAGCCTTGCATGCCACCTACAACCTGGCCCTTGTAAAGACCACTCATCTCCTTGGGTTGCACCTTAGCAGGCAGGTCTATCCCAGGCACATCCACCCCAAAAACAACCCAGACAGATCTCACACATCCATTTGCAGCCATGGAGGAGACAGGGGATGTAAGAGGGAGGGGAGGGGAGAGCAAGGCACCAGTGGACCACAACTGTAATCCTAGCTACTGGGGAGGCTGAGATCAAGAGGATCATGGTTAGATATGAACTGAGCCAATAGTTCATGATTCCCCATCTCCCAAATAACCAAAGCAAAATGGACTGGAGGTGTGGCTTAAGTGGTAGAGCCCTTGCTTTGCAAGCATGAAGCTCTGAGTTCAAATTCCAAGCCCACCATGAGCCCCTGGGAGGGCAGGCGGGTACTGGGAGCTCTGAGGAAGGGGTCCACCATTTGGGGGTGAGGATGGTTCACAGCTTCCAAGTCTCAGTTCCATCCCAGCATGGAGACCACCAGCAGAATGAGGGAGCACAGTATGGGGGACCAGGGGCTCCAATTCACCTCAAATGGCTGCCGGCTCTGGTCGGTGGGGGCTGTTGAGGGGGTGGAACCATTTTCTGTATTCCTGGAGAGAGACAGAGCCTGTCAGCAATGGCAAATGTCCTTCCCCATCCCCCAGGGCATGGACCATCCTCTGCAGCCTATTCTTGGTCCTGCATGTTGGGAGGGTAGGATTCACAACACCGAAGTTGCCAGTTCCCTCCCTGGGACCACGTGGCCCTGCAGGAAGACAGTGAATCCAGGCATCCCAATGCACCAATCATGCATGCAGTTTTGGTGTCAGATAGTAAAGTGGATCTGTGTCCGCTGGTCACTGACAGAGCACCTCAGGCTTCTGAGTCCCCTCACCCTGGGGCTTACATCATAACATCACAACCCCAAGTAGGGGAAGAGATGACGCCACCAGCCTTGCCACATCTGTGCTGCTGCCATGCAGAAGCCAGGGTCACCCACAGTTGCCATGTGGTGCCAGCCCCTGCCCAGCCCCATCTGACATCCCTGCCCACTCTGCCAGCCTCTGTGACCAAGGTTGCACTACCTGGTCTCTTCTGGAAGCTCCTCGATAAAACCAGACTCACATCTTGGGCAGATGTAATCCTGCAGGAGAAGAATGGGATGTGAGGGTCATGAGAGCCATCCCTCTCAATGGAGGTCTCTGTCCAGTCTGGCAAGTGCAGGCCTGACGCCTGTGAGGGCCACTCCTGACCTTTGGGTTGTAGAGGGTTTTGGAGGACCAACGGGTAGACAAGAGAGGCCCAGAGGCTTGTGAATTCCTGATATAGGGGGAGGGGACAGCAATAGTTGGTCTGGAGGATTCCAACTGCCCCCAGTCAGTTCCCTCTAGGTGACCTCACTGTCACCTAGAGTATGTCACCTAGAGAGCACATGTCCCATAGTAACCCAAGTCTTAGGGCCTCCTCGTGAGAGGTATACACTCAGACAGAAGCTCAGTCACACATCTGGGACACTGTCAGCCCCAACACGCAGCCTGGAGCTGAGGATCCAGGCCAGAGACAGCAAGTTTGAGTCCCAATCAGGCTGGTTCCCTGACAGCAGCCACAAGCCACATTCATGCTATGTGGGCCACATCATTAGGTGTGTGAAAAGGCTGGGCACTGGTGGCTTATGTCTGTAATCCTAGCTACTCAGGAGGCAAAGAGACTGCAAAGGCAAGAGACCATCACCTTGTCCCCTACTGCACCACAGCTTCTTGCTGCTCATAGCCTGGGGTGACTGTGGGTGATGGGGGTGGCTGTGGGTGATGGCAGGTGACCTGGAGCTGGGCACACACACCTGTCATCCCAGCACTTAGGAGGCTGAGGCAGTAGGCTCAAGAGTTCAAGGCCACACTGGGTGCCAGTGGCTCACACCTATAATCCTAGCTACTCAGGAGGCAAAGATCAGGAGGATCGAAGTTCAAAGCCAGTCTGGGCAAACAGTTCACAAGGCCTATCTTGAAAAAACCCTATCACAAAAAATTAGGCTGGTGGAGTGGCTCAAGGTGAAGGCCGTGAGTTCAAGCCCCAGCACCGCACCGCACCGCACCGCACCACACCACACACACACACAAAAAAAGAGCTCAAGGCCAGCCTGGACTACATGACAAGACCCTCAAAAAAAAAAAAAAAACACAACAGAAACAAAACCAAAAGAGGACTCCTTTGTTTTAAGAAAAAGCTTTGCCTCTATCTTGAAAATACCCAACACAAAAAGGGCTGATGAAGTGGCTCGAGTGGTAGAGTGCCTGCTTAGCAAGTGTGAAACCCTGAGTTCAAACCCCAGTACCACCGCCCCCCCCAAAAAAAAAGTGTGCAAAAAGGGACTCACAGTGTCCTAAAGCCACCTGGGTGACATGGACACAATCAGGGAGAATAAGTGCAAGATGTGTTTCCATGTGAAGGCAACACTTCACAAGGCAGGGAGGCCATAGTGCACCCCAGGCCCCAGAAATGCAGACTCCATAGGGCTACTGAGCCTCACAGCGAACACGCATACAGTTGGCTCTGGGCCCCATGCTGCCTGAGTGGACCCTGAAGCATGAGGGTGGCCAAAGGCCTTACCTGCTGACTTTTAGGGAGGGCTTGACAGCCGGGACACTATGCACAGCATACAATATGTCACCACTTGCCCCCGACATTGACAGCAGAGGCTGTATGGGGAGGGGAGGTGGAGCTGAGGACAGATAGGTAGACCCTGTGCAAAGAAGCCCAAGAGGGACCAGAGAAGGTTGGCAAGTATGCTAAGGGGCTTGAGACCACAATACATAAATAATGCTTATACTTCAGTAACTGAGACAGATGACCCAATGAAAAAAGTGGACAAGCAGCATGTACAGACACTTCTCAAAGGCATGAAGATGGCCAATGAGCACATGATGCCCACACCATTAGTCACCAGGTAAATAAATGCCAGTGTGACTCAGTTGGCCTGAAGATGGCTGCCACACTCAGAACAGGCTTTGCCAGGGCTGGAGGACTCCACCATTCTGCAGGAGGGACCTAAAACAGATGGGTCCCTGCCCAGCGCCTGCACATGCACACGCCTGGCAGAGTAATGTGCTTCAACCTCCAGTACCTCCCCTGCAGCTGAGGGACTTGAGGGATTCATAAAACACATCCTGTTCCCCAGCCCCAGGCAGCCTTCTCACCACCCTCCAAGCCCTGCTGGGCCCAGGCCTGCTTGCTGCCAATCTTCCCTGGTCACACCAGCTGTGTACACTGTTGTCTTCGGCTGAATGGCCTTCCCCCAGGTGTCCATCTGCTCAATTGTCCCTCTGCAGAAGCTGTGCTCAAAGGTCACCTCCACAAAGGCTGCCCTGATTGGCCCTGTAGCTCGGCTGCTTCTGCTCCTTGCAAGCACATGTCAAGGTGATGGCATCTTGCTGTGACTATGTTTACTTCTCTTCTTAGGGGACAGGGAAGGGACAAGGACCAAGCACCTGCTGAGCACAGACCTGTGTAACCACATCTCCATGGAGCAGGACCTAGGCAGCAAGATGTCTCTAGGATGTGCCACTCTTCATTTGGGGTACCCTAGTACAACACACAGGCCCACATCCTGGCATACACAGGGAAGTTGGGGAAGCTGCAGCAGGAGCTGGAGAGAGGTGGCATCCATCTCTTTGGGCCACACAGATCATGAAGAGCTGTGCCCATCCCCCTGTGGCCCACACAGTATTCAGGGCCCCTAGGGAAGGCCTCAAGGGACCAGAGCTTGGGCAGGGGCCTTGGGACCCCTTGCACTGACCACTGTACAGAGGTCATTTCAGCCTTCTGAACTGACCAGGGTGTGGAGGAGCATGGAGGGGGGGAATGCAGAACTCCCCCGCTTCCTGCCCACAGCCCTAGAAGTGTGTACTGCTCCCACACCCCTTTCTTCTTGGACCTAGAAGCTCCCACAACAACCCACGTTTATACTATCAGTCCTTGGGCCTATAATATGAGCACCCTATGGAGGATGCTGGGCTCCTGGTGCTAGCTGACTGATGGGAAATGAGCCCATACTGAGGACAAGAACCCGTTGTGAGGCCGGCTGCAGACCAGCAATTGCACTCAGGGCACCAGACTCTACCTTCCAGGTTCTTCCCAGGCTGGTCAGACACCAATGATGGGCCTGGGGCCCCATGTGGGATGCTATGCAAGGGGCTGTGATGTACAGCACCCTGGCCACAGGGGCAGTTCTGCTTAGGACCCCAAGTCAGGTCCCCTCCTGGGCTCAGCTTGAAGGTGCTAACGGGCAGAGTCCCACATGGGAAGAATTCAACACTTGCCACAGTCCCCAGATGCCTGGGCATCCCTGGTGCCTGACCACATAGTCAGATGCTGTGCTTACAGCATGCACAGAAGCAGCTGGCTCCCATGTGCACTCTCTGGGGCCTTGGTTTCTGCAGACCCTCATAGGGTGCTGGATGACGCTGTGAAGAGGAGCAGCTGCTACTGTCACAGAAACTAGCACAGCATGGGACATACCAAGCAGGCTAGTGGCTAGAGGGCAGAGATGCTGGCCTTGGGTGAAGCAAAGGGTGGGGAGAGTGGGGGCAAGCAGTTCAGAGAGCCCTCCTCCAGAGCCCAGGAGACATCAGTAAACAGTTACAACCAATGCTGCTCAGTGGTTCCCCACTGCCTTCCTTGTCCACGCCCCCTCAAGGCAGCTATTCACTATGCCATCTCATCACCCACTCAGGGACACCTCTGGGAGGGAATGCAGGTCTATCAATGGGGGCAACCAGAGTGCACAGGTGGTGGGCAGTGCAGACAGGAGTCAGCATTAGAGGTGGGGCAGCACTGTGGGGGGAGAAGGAGGCTGGGAAGGTGCCACTGTGCAGCAGCCAGTTCCTGTCGCCGTCAGAAACTGGCATCTCACAACCCGCTCCGGTGTTTGGGCGGCAGTAGGTGTCACTGCAACACACATGTGGGTCCAGTAGAGGTAGGGACTTTCCCATGTGCCCCACCCCAGCACAGACACTCTACACAAGCCTTTCTGCTGCTAGCAGAGTCCTGCTCTGCCCTCTGAACCAGATCAGGCAGAGACAAACTCCACCCAACACCCCCTCACCGCCATTATTTGCCCCTACAAAACTTCCCAACATCTGTGCTTATACTTGTGTCAATCCCTAGCCAGTCTATAAACCCTGTGAGGGCAAAGGCCACCCTGGGTCACTATATATATAACTAGAGGAAAGTCCTCACCAGGCCCATGACAGTCAAGAGGTCAGGGTCCTCCTTGACCAAGGCCACAGGACCAAAAGTGGCCACATCACACCAGAATCTGGTGCTGTGCTGGCCACAGGAAGGGAGGCCAACAACTAAGCAAGAAGCTAGGTCAGGTCAGTTCTGCACACCAACCAGCCACCTGCACTGCCAGAGTTTACAACTCTGTAGGCTTCCACAGGGCCTGTTCTAAAATTACACCAGCTTTGAGGGGCTGTACTGCCACCAACAGAGGTCCGATGCTGTCCGGCCATCAGCCCTGCCTGCCATAGACAAGAAAGGCAGACCCAGAGCTGGGGCACAGGAAGGCGAGGGGAAGGAGCAACTACAGGAGGCTGAGGTGGGGAAAAGGAGCAACTCTCAGCTCACCACTCCAGATTTTATTTTCTCTCTCCCTTCTCCTGGAGAGGACCCACCTCTCTCCTCCTCTCCCCTCCAAGCCACTCCAGTACTCTCTTCCTTTCCTCCGGGAGAAGCCCACAGGTTCCTCCTCTGAGTCACTTCTCCCAGAAAATGCCTGTCACAACTTCAAGGGTCAGGACCCGACAGAGCACAGGAGATGATCTAGGGGACAGATGAGGGAGCTCCACAAACCTTTAACCTGATCGCTGGCTCCAGATACCCCTCCACCTCCCTCTGCCACTCCCTTCCCACTGCCCAGATGGCCAGTGTCAAAACTGTGTGCCCTTCTCTACTAAGCCACCACAAACATCGTCTTTCCACCTGAAAAGCAGGGGTGGATTGGCCTAAAATCCCACTTTCCCCATCTGCTGGGAAGAAGAATGCAGGCCTAAAATGCAGATGATTAAATCCCCTCCAGACCTACAGGTTCACAAACCCGGTGATGGGGGCCTGGAGAACATTCCCCCGAGATGACGCCAAGATGGCTTGAGAAGCACTGACCCAAAGGAGCAGTGAGTGTCCGGGACACCCAAGCAGGATCCCTAGGCAAGCAGGGTCCCTAGGCGACCTTGAAGGCGGGCAGCCCCGCCAAGTCCCAGCAGCGTTCAGCGTTCTCTCTTGGACTCTGCGCCCTGGCCCGAAGCAGATCTGATCACAAACACCTGCCATGAGCAGCTGCGGGACCCCGGGAGCTCCAGACCTCGCCAGCCCATCCGGGAAAGTAAGGCTGCGCCCCGAACGCGAAGGCGGCAGGGACCCACGAGGCCGGCGCGGCGCGCCCCCGCAGCCAGGCCACGCTCTCAGCGAACATCCCTGCGCCGCGGTCGGCTCCGGCGCCCCGCGACCCTCCCATACAGAGGCCGCGCGTCCTCCAAGGCGACAGCCAAGGCCGACCCTCCACTGCGGTGGGGCTTCCACTTCTGCTCCTGCAGAGACGGCACACTGGACCCGGGGCCTGCCCCTGGTTCGCCCTGGGGTCTACGCAAAGGGTCCGAGAGACTCCGGGCCTACCCCACTTCTGTCGGGCCTTGGTGTTTCGCATCCAACGCGGAGAGACCCTGGCAGGCGCTGGCCGGCCTCAGTTTCCCCGCAGGCACCCCATGCCTGGCCGCGGCCCGGCCAGGCCTGCACGCACAGGCCCACCCACCCGCCCGGGCCTCACCGGCAGGCGCGGCACGATCTCGACAGAGCAGCAGTGGCAGAAGAACCGTCCGGGCTGCGGCGACGCCTCGGCCATGGCCACCGCCGCCTCCGCGCCGCCCGCCCCCCGCGCGGCGCCCGCCGCCGGCCGTTTGCTGCTCCCTCGCCGGCGGACGCGCCCGCGCACGCTCACGCAGGGCACGCAGGGCACGCACGGCGTGGAGCGTCAAGCGGCGCGGGCAACACTTTCTGCGGGTGTCGGCGTGGGCGACGGTGGCCGTATAGGGGCAAACTAGGGATGACCATCAAACTAAGCTCCGGGTAGGGGGTGAGGCCAGGCCCGAGGGCTTGGGAAGGTGATGAGCCAGGCCTGAACTGAGCGAGACCGAGCCTTCTTGGCAACCGGGATCAGAGGCAGATGAGGGACGGGGTGGAACCTAGGCACCCAGGCGAGCAGGGGCGGGGGCGGGGCCAGGCCAGGAGAATGCGGAAGGAGGCCAAGGGGCGGAGCCTACGCGGAGCGTTCCTCTTCCATTTTCCTCATCTCTGGCTGGTGTCATCCTCACTGCTCTTCAGCCTCCTTGTCCCCACCGTTCCTGGGACTCGGCAGGCACGCTGTCACCTCCGAGAGTTCTCACTGGCTGTGCCCTCCCCAGATACAGTTCACCTTCCCCATGTTCTTCAAGTATTTGCTGTCACCTCTTGGTCGTCCTCCTCCAAAGTCTAATTTTCACTTGGTAAATTGTAAGACCAGCGCCCCAGGCAATTTTGTGTCTTGTTCCTGACTCGCTCCATAACAGTGCCTGGCACTCAGGCAGTCCGTAAACATTCATGGAATGAATGTAGATGGATGGAAGGAGGACCCCTCTGAGACTGAACAGCTGCGTGTTCCTCGGTGTGACCTGTGGGATAAGAGACTAAGACCTGGCTTCCGTGGTGCTTGAGGTTGACATCCTCTGGGGGCAGAGGGTTCAGATATCCAAACCCCCTTCCTCCCAAAGTAAACCAACTGGTGTAATCATCCTAGTGGGCTAGGATCCTTTCTGAAATTATTTCCAGCCTCGTTTTATATTTATTTATTCAGTTAACATTCATTGAGAACCTATTGCATACCAGACCCTGTACTAAGTGCCGGCAAACATCCTCAGCCCAATGAGGTTGTACCACAGGATGGGACCTTAGGGAGAGAAGGCATTTGGAACCAGGGCTTTGAGGAATGAATAAATAGCAGTAGGTTGGAGTTGAGCTTCCTACAGAAGGGGGCATTGGCCTGACTGCGAGCCACCTCCCTGTCCACTGTCCCAGTGGTGACCACCAGAGAGCGCAAGGGCACCATCACTGGTAATGTGACCTCTCCAGGACCAAGCCTTAGAAGGCAGAGGCTCCTTCCTGACTTGCTAGAACAGCCCCAGGACCCTTTCACACCAACCTTCATTCCCAGTACTGTCCATGTGGTTAAAGAGGACTTCCAGCAGCTGGGCCAGGGTTCAAGTCCTACAAAGCCACCCATTGGCTGTCTGACTGTGGGCAAGTGATTTAATCTCTCTGAGCAGATGACAGAGCCTGCCTTGGGGTTTCAGGTTGGATCAGGCTTGTGTAGACATGGCCCTCTTGGTCCCCACTGTGTCCCCCAATACTTCTGACCTCTCAGTGGCCCTCTTGGGTGGGCAGAATATGTTCTACCTTGGGCCTTTGTATATGGTGCCTTCTGCTTGCTGCCCATCCCAGGCCTTCTCTTCCTCCACTCCTTGGTCCTACTTCCCCCTGGGGAACCCTGTCCTCCTGCACCCTGCTTCCCAGGGCCTCTTCCTTCCCCCACAGCTACTCCACACACTAGCTTTCCCAACACACAGGATAAATCCCCAGCACGCTGTCTGTACTCAGCAAACTCTGGAATAAATGAGCAGTTAGTGAGTGCTTGCTATGTGTGGGCCCGGGCAGGTTGCTGGGGATATAGTGGGAACAAAAATGATATAAAACTTGAGATTTGCAGTCAGGCACCAGTGGCTCAAGCCTGTAATCCTAACTGCTTGGGAGGCTGAGATTGGGAGGATCATGGTTGGAGGCCAGCCTGGGCAAAAACGTTCGTGAGACTCCATCTCAGTAGGGAAAAGGATACGTGTGGTCGCATGCATCAGTTATTAAGGAAGCCTAAAACAGGAAGATCATGGTCCAGGCCAGTCTGAGGAAAACACAAGACTCTATCTCTGAAATAACCAGAGCAAAAAGGGTTAGGAGCATGGCTCAAGTAGTAGAGTGCTTGCCTTACAAGTGCAAAACCCTGAGTTCAAACCCCAGTACTGCCAAAATAAATAAAACTGAGCTTTTGCCTTCTCCAAAGCTTTAAGATGTGGGGACAGTTAACCCCTCATTGTTCAGAGTGGGGCTGCACACAGCAGAGCTCAGCTCAACCCAGGCCACTGGGCCCCTCACCCACTGACCATCTAGACCTGAGACCAGCCTTGCACTGTACCATGCACCATGGGGCTCAATTGCTAGGGCAGGTCACATGGGACCCTGTGGCTCTCAGGTTCCATGGCCTCTCACAGCTGTCAATCTGACAGCACAAACACTGTTGTTGCTGCAGCTGATGAGACAGACTCAGGAAGGGCGAGCCGTGCCTCTCCCCAGGGTCTGCTGATGCTCCCTGAGACCCCCAGGTGCCAATGGACATTGAGACACAAGTGCCTCCTCATCCTTGGCACATCCTGGGGAGGGCTTCAAAAGTGATTTCCTATTTCTAGGAGAAATAGGGCCCCAGGGCAAAGCCAGTCTCCCCTGACTTCCATGACAGAGTTGTGCCTTACTTCATAAGGGCCTTCACCTTGAGCCACTCCACCAGCCCTTTTTTGTGAAGGGTTTTTCTTGGGAAGGGGCACCTGCCTCTCAGCTCCATGCCCCCATCTCTAGTGGGTTCCTTCCCTGGTTCTCCATCTCTGTCAAGGTTGCTCTAATCCTTTTTTCTGGGTCTTTGCATGTGCTGTTCCCCCACCCCAGAACTCTCCCTTCCTCTCCTGACCACCTTGAGCAGGCCACTTCTGCCCTTGTCATAGTTTCCTTGTCTGTCACAAGGGGTCACAGAGGTATGGCCCTATGTGATAAAGGGTGAAGCCTTCAGGTTCCATAGCTGGGCTCCTCCTACCCTGATCCTGTGTGGAGGCCTTGGTGTTTGCTGTTGGCCCTGAAGTGTGTTTGACCTTGCTTTCAGAGGAGTCACCTGACATTGAACTCCTATCTCATTTGCTTTTCCAAGAGAGTTTTGAACTTTTTTTTTTTTTTTTTTTTTTGCGATACTGCAAACTCAGGGGCTTCACGCTTGCTAGGTAGGTACGCTACCATCCCAAGAACTATTTGCTCAGGCTGGCTTCGAACTTCAATCCTCCTGATCTCTGCCTCCTGAGTAGCTAGGATTACAGGCGTGAACCACTGGCGCCCGGGTGAGTTTTGGACATTGTTGTTCAGCTCCTCAGGTGGAAAACCTCCACAGGAATTTTGATAGGGCAGCATTGAACTTCATGACTTTGCTGCAACCGGCAGCCCTGGCTGGAGCCTGGTGCTGGGCTCTGTATATTTGGGGACCTAGTTTCAAATTGAGCCCAGGGACAGGCTCCAGGGTTTAATATCTGAAGAAAGCAATTCTGTTTTAATTGTTTTTTCTTTTTTTTTTTTGGACAGGGTGTCACTATGTAGCCCAGGCTGTCCTTGAACTCAAGATCCTCCTGTGTCCACCTCCCCAGTGCTGGGATTACAGAGTTTACACCACCCATGCCTGGTTTTTTGTTGAGATGGGGTTATTAACTGTTTGCCCGAGCTGGCCTTAAACCTCAATCCTCCTGATCTCTAGCTCCTGAGTAGCTAGGACTACAGGCCTGAGCCACTGGTGACTGGCCCCAGATGGCTTTTGACTGATGCATGCACTAAACCACGCTTGCTTTGCATCATCCCCATGTACTGCTTATCTACTCAGTCGTGCCCTGTGGTCTTACTCTTTCCACCTGTGACATTCCTTGGCTGTGACTTCAAGGTGGTGTGGGTTTGAGGCAAGGTGATGAGGCTCCTCATGATTTCTCTTCTTATTCACAGCCACAAGCATAAAGCCCTGAGTTCAAACTCTAGTACCCGCAAAGAGAGGGAGAGAGACAGAGAGACAAAGAGAGTGCGTGTGTGTACAGGGGAAGAGAGGAAGAGAGAATATTCGGGACCTGAAGATGAGTGAACAAAGCTTTGAAACTGGCCACAGGTCCTCTCTCTGTGTGACTGTGCCAGTGTGAGTTAGGGACATGAGGGGCTGGACTATAGTCTGACAACCTAGTCTTACATCCTAAGAAATAGCAGACCTTGATTTGAAAATAAGCACTGCCCCAAGACCTTGTCATATGCCCCTTCATTCCTCCCAACCAACCCAAGAAGAAAGGATAATTTCCTTCATTTCACAGGGGGAAACTGAGGCCTAGGGAGGATGCCACTCACTCAAGTCCACAGTTTTAGGACCTGACTCACACTGCCCCTCAGAAGGGATTGGGGTCCCTGCACCTCACCCTGGCAGGGACAGAGCCACTTCTCATGCCCCTTCAGCCTCAACAGCTGATTATGGACACCAGTATTTCACAACTATACTGAGACTGACCTCAAACACACTAGCCCAGTGAGAAGCATGTGGGACCTCTTGATCCCCAGAACTATCAGGGAATTAAACTGAAAATACGGTTTGTGTGTTTGTTACAGCAGCAAACAGGAAGCACATACTTGTGGCTCTCCTGGTCCAGGTGCAGACAGACTGTGCACCCCACCAGTCCAGGCCATCCCTTCTGTCATTGGCTAGAGCTGGGTTGCGTGGTTGCATTCTGCACCAATAACTAGCAAATAGATGACTGACATCAGAACTTACCACTTCAGCTGAGGGTGGGTCCTGCTTTCTGTGACAGATGAGGTCCCCATATTCCCACATAAAATCCCATTCTTTGTCAGGGAAGTGGAGCAGCCAGATAGGATGGTGGCCTTTGGGAAAGAATTGCTATGGGAAAGGGCTGGATTAAGAGGGCCCAGGAGGAAGATCCTTGAACCCAGGTCGACAGTCCTGGAATCTGTTCTATGGCCACAGGGACCGATGTGCGGTGGTAGAGCTGGGGAGGGCACATCTGAGTGTTGTAAGGCCCGGCCTCCTGCACGATCTGCCATGACCAAAGTCCTCAAGCATCACATGCTCACCAGAAAACCAGCCAAGCCTTCTTCCCAGAGCCCCAAGGGCTCTGAGTTCTAGCTGAAAAGGTACAGGCCACACAGATCCTCTGGTTTAAGGAACATGGGAGCCTGTGCACTCTGCACCAAGCCATGATCTGATCTACTCCTCTGACATCACAGGGAATTACTGTTTCTCCTCTTGGCTCTGTGTCTCGTTGACTTGGCCTCTTCCTAGCTACTGGCAGAAGCCACCTGTGGCTCTGGGCTCACACCCTTCCAAGTCCAGCCAAAGTTCAGGGTTGGCTCCTGGTCTTGAATGATCCTTACTTATTAACCAATCCTGGGTGGGTGCCCACCTCTGGAATCACTGGTACTAGAATGTAGGAGGGGACTCCCCAAAGGAAATATAGTATAGGACCAGAACTGGGAGGGGCGCCAGCCATAATGCTGGAGCTGGACATGACTGTCCAGAGACCAGAGAAAAGGGTCCTGCCCCACAACTCCACACATAGGTACTAGACTCTTTTTTTTTTTTACTGTAGTGGTATTAGGGTTTGAACTCAGGGCCTCATGATTGTTAGGCGCTCTACCACTTGAGCCACTCCACCAGCCTTTCCTAGACTTATTTATAAGTGACCCCAGCTCCAAACCTTTGGGGTCACTTTCTTTCCTTCAGTGTCAGTGGTCCATGTGGCATGGGTCCTTGTCACATAGCATGGTGGTAAGCAGGCACACTGTGCCTACCCTAGACAGACACCTGTCTCTAATTAGGAATCCATGCTGTTCTCCCCTGCTGTGCCCTGGGCATGTCCTCAACATCCAACCTCCAGCCTCTCATATGGGGGGTTATCTAATGCTGCTGTCACAGTGCCACAAACTGGGTGGCTTGAAACAACACATTTTCTTCTCTCTCATAGTTCTTGAGGTCAGAATTTCCATAGGGGTCAGAGTGGTTGCAAATCCAGGTATGGGCAGGGCTGCATTCCATCTAGAAGCTTCAGGGGAGACTGTTCCGTGTCCATCCCAGCCTCCAGCTGCCACCCAGATTCCTTGGCCTGAGGCTTCTGTCTTCATTGCCACTTCCAGCCATAGCTGACCTGTCTCTCCAGCCACAGGCGAAAGGGTCTTTGCTTCTGCAACAATCATAGGATGACATGGGCCACCTGGACAATTCAGGCTCATATCCCCATGGAACTTAATCCTGCCTGGCTGCAGGGTCCCTTTCAGCCATTGAAGGGGACAGATCTGGTAGGTTCAGAGTTAGGACATGGACATCTCTGGGGTTATCATTCTGCCAAACACCCTTGAACTGACTTACAGCACAAACATCCTGTCTTTTGTGTTTCCCGCACAGGCAGTCTGTAAATCTTAACTTAAATGTCTACTTCCTCTGAGTCATCTTCCATACCATTCTCCCCCATATCCCCAGCCTCAGGTATGGCCTCAGAGCACCTCCACCCCAGGCATCCTCTACCCTAGACAATTACAAGATTATCACTGCCTGTTGGCCTGTTGGGTCTGGAGGAGAAAGGAGCCTGGGGAGGTAAGTAGAGGTCATGGAGAGCCATGGTGGATTTGTGAGCTAGAGAGGGGTCTTACACAGCTTGGGTAGAAAGTGGTGGCAAAGGAAAGAAAAGCCGGAGAGGCTGGGAAGAGAAGGTAGAGCTGAGGAGGGGAGGACCAAGGCTGTCCTGGTGTCTCAGGAGGCTGGGGATCCCCGGAAAGGGACAGTGACTTGCTGGAGGTCCCTGGTATGTGGCCTCTGGGTTGAGGAGGAATGCTGGACTGGGAAACAGGCTGGAAAGGTCCCAACCCACGCTAGACAGACAATGACCCTTTGATTTGTTCAGCCCAGTCCAGAATGGCCAAGCACAGCAGGGTCAGGTCTTGGCCAAGGTCACACCATCCAGCCCCCACACACCCTGGGTGAGAACATCAGGTCCAGTCCCTGCCCCATTCCCCAATCCAGGAGAATCCCTGGTAGACTGCCAGGGGCCAAGGCCAGGGCAGGGCAGTGGGGCCTCCTCCCTCAGTGCCACCAGAACAGTAGCTTGGCCCTTGGCTGCTCAGTGGGGGACACAGATCAGGCTGGCAGCTAAGGTCGAGAAAAGGACCTGGGTGTGCCTTCTGCAGGGGGCAGATCTCCCTCCCACAAGAGGACAAGTGTGTTGTGCTGTGTGACTCTAGGGAGCCCTGCTTCCCCACCTGTGGAGGAGGTGGGTACAGGAATGGAGGGAACCCAGTGATCGCTATAGCTTCATTTTTTTTTATTTTCCTGAAAGTATGTGCCACTATGTACTGTTATAGGTTAATTAATTTGTCTAATTTGTTATCTGAGGTCTCTTAAACCATGAGCTGAATGAAGACAGGACCGAGTTTTGCCTTGGTCACTAGAATGGCCCAGCACCCTGTATGATCCCTCCTGCCACCATTAATTATCTCATGGAAGCACAAGGGACCCTACAGAAGCTATGAGCACTTCAAGGGTGCCCTCACCACTGTGGAGGTCCCCAAGACAGAAGGCATCAATTGCTCAGAGGCCCCAGCTGACAGATGAGTGCCTCCCAGGCCCACACCAATCACCATCATAAATGGTGGGGAACACCTCTGCTTGGGCCACCAGGGATGCCAGGGCAGCCAAGCCCAATGGGGAAGCCAGGTCTACTGAAGGAAGAGGGAGAGGAGGACCCCTCCTAACTGTCTGTCTCCTGTTGCTGTGGCTGCAGGCACATCTACAAAGGACTGTGGTCAACCCGCCCAGGGTTCAGGGGACAGGGGCTGGCAAGGTGGGCTTTTTGGAAGCCCAAACTGATTCAAAGATTACTGCTGTTTATGCTGCTTGGGACCAGAGCACTCCCTGCACCTGTCCTGCACCCACACCCTGTCTATGTGCTCACTCCCAGCTATGCCCAGCAGCTCAGTGGCCAGGTGGATGGGCTGGGTGGATGGCCTATGGGGTGAAAGAGAGCCATCTCCAGAAGTCCTGGGTGTGGAGGGCATGTATGGACTGAAAAAGACAGGCTGAGGACGGAAGTCACAGTTGGATCACTGAAGTGACCACAGGCCAGCCCCATTGTGTGGCATGGATCCACAAACATGGTACCTGCAGCCTCTCTTCCTCAGTTCACAGCCAGAGCACTTCCCTCAAAGACACCAAACCAGCAGTGACACCTGGAGGTGACCCCCTGGATCCACCAAGGCCATTGGGCACCACCTGGAACTCGCAGGGTCAGAGTTTGGGCCCATGACCCTGGTTGCAGCCACATCTTCTCACACAAACTCTGGTTCCTAGATGGGACCGGGCCTGCCCCCAACTGCCACCCCCGCACAGGCCCGGCCCTGCGCATCGCATCGGGGACACGTCCGTCCCGCCGCGCCCCGCCCAGCCGGCGGCCCCGCCCGCCGCCCGGGACCTTTTTAGGCAGCGCCGCCCGTCTGCTCCGAGTCCCTGCTGACGCTCTGCGCTCGCCATGCGTCCCAGGGCGTCGGGGCCGCTGTGGCCACTGCCATGGGGGGCCCTGGCCTGGGCCGTGGGCTTTGTGGGCTCCATGGGCTCGGGGGACCTCTCGCCGGGTGAGTGGGGAGGCCGGAAGGGGCGGGCGGGCGGTCACCCACGTGGCTTGAGGAATGCGGTCGGGGGGCGCGAGCGGCTCGGCCGGGGGTGTCCGGCAGCGGGTGGCGGCTCCTCTCCCCGTGCCCCAAAGATTCCTTCCGGAAGCCAGTAGACCATATGTCAGTAAGCAGCTTGCTGACACTAGTGCTTAGTGTCTACTTCTTTTTCTCTGAATCCGTAGTGAGGCACAATTTTGTGGGTATTCTTATCATCCCCGTTTTCCAGATGGAGAAACTGAGGCGCAGGGTCAGATAGCTTCTTAAGTGGTATAGCCAGGATCCAAAGGGACACCATCTGGATGGGTCCTCAGGTCCCAAAGAGACAGTGCTGGGTGGTTGGACTCAGGAATTCTAGCTGGGGTCTCAGACTTCCTCAAGATGGGACAGGGAAACTCATACCTGCAACTTGCTGAGAGAGCCGGGCAAGTGACATCCTCAGCCTCAGTTTTGTAAGATGGGTGCCAAGGAACTGGGCCTGGTCCCTGGAAAGTGTTCAGCTGTGTCCTTGCGCCCAGAGAGCTCTGGGATGGGGGCCATGCCACTCCCGCCCCTATTTGTGGTGAAAGAAGCCAAGGACCCTCTGCCTTCCAACCCCCACCCCACCCTGCAGCCCCACCCAGCCTCTGAGGGGAGAGCGAGCCCCCTCCCCGAAGGCCGCGTCCCGGGGGAGAGGTGAGCTCATGTCAGGGGAATGTTCCCAAGTTGGAGTGAGTAAGAGGCGGGTCAGGCGAGGGGGGGCTGCAGGCAGGGGGCTCCGCGTGCCCTAGGGCTCTGTCTAGACTGAGGGCAGAGGCGGGAAGCGGCTCCAGGCTCACTGACCCTGCTGTGTCAAGGGCCTGGCATTTGACAGCTTAGGCTGGGCGCCAGTTCCCAGACGTGGGGGCCAGAGAGGGCTAGGGAAGAGCAGTGTGGTGGGGCCCAGGGAAGGAGGGACCACCCAAAGGGGTAGAATCAGGACAGCACCTGTGTGGCTCTGCCCCTCCTTCCTGGGTCAGAGGCAGGTCACCCATCATAATTGCCTGGGAATGGACAGTGTGCTGCTCTGCGGAGGTGAGGCTGGCTGTCAGGAGCCGCCCCACAGTTACCACTTCCCTCACCTACAGGTGGTGTCTGCTGGCTCCTGCAGGGCCGAGAGGCCACCTGCAGCCTGGTGCTGAGGACTGATGTGAGCCAGACTGAGTGCTGTGCCTCCGGCAACATTGACACCGCCTGGTCCAACTTCACTCACCCAGGGAACAAGATCAGTCTGCTTGGTTTCCTGGGCCTTGTTCACTGTCTCCCATGCAAAGGTGAGGCCCCAGGTGCAGGGCTGGCAGGACTCAGTTCACAGTCAGTCAAAAAATTGCTGTGGCTGACCATGGGACACGCGCGAGTAAGGTCCCAGCCACAGGAGTGTGCAGGAGCTGGAGAGGGGATCCTGGCCAGAGAGGGGTCAGGGGACCTCCCACCTTCCCAGGCTTCAGGTTCCTGCAGCTGAGGATTGGGGAGGCTCTGAGGAACCCCAACTTCATCATCCAGAACGTCTGCTTAATTGGCTTAAACGTAACTCCTGGGACGTGGGGCTGTCCTGAATGACTCAAAGTGTCCCCCACATCCACACCAGGACCCTTAACTCCACCAGATCTGCATATTTAACAGACTTGTGCCTTTTGGACTTTGTTTTGAGAAATGCTGCCCCCCCACATCACACTAAGAACAGGATGAGTTCAGATGTCTTCTGCCTTGGAGGATAGGGTGGTTGGAGGACTCTCCTGGCCCCCCTGTGGTCAGGACTGAACCTGCAGGGAGCCAGAGAACCTGTTGAGACAGGAAGTGGGCATTAGAGCCTGGGTGTTGGAGGATGATTAGGAGTTTGCTGGATAGAGAAGGTATGGGAGAGAGGGCACAAGCAGAGATAGGACTTGACAGGGTCAAGTCCAGAGGAGTGGGATCAGGCAGGGGAACAGAGAGGAGGCTAGAGCTGAGGACTGCTGAAGGCCAAGCTGAAGGCTTGGCCTCTAAAATGTGATTAATCCCAGATCAGCCTGGCTGGGTGGTCCTGAACTCACTGCCATGTGCTCCCCTCTCCAGACCCCCTCTGACTTCTGGGAAGAGGCAGACTAAAACATTCCTGGCTGGGCAGGAGATGGCCCAGGACCCTCCCCACATCTGGCCCTGGGGACTGGGAACTTGGGCCCCCCCTCTTACTTTTCCGTTTGGGTGAAGTTGCCCTGGCGAGCATTTCCAGATGTGTGTTTGGGCGGGCTGCATGGGAGGCCCCAGGTGCGGCCCACGTGCCCTGCCCCAAGATGTGGGTGGGGGAGGCCCCAGCCATTCTCAGAGGAGAGTTCCTTGGCCCTGTAAGGTGGGCCCTCAGTCCCTTTTACATACAGGGAAACTGCAGCTGGAGTGTTTAGAGTTCACCCTCCAGACCCAAAAGCAACTGAATGGGGTGGGGCACCCATCTCCAGTTTAGCCTGGAGTTCTCAAGCTGAGATGCTCCTGAGTCCCCTGCACTCACAGGTGTGACTGGGGCCTCAGTTTCCCATTCTATAAAATGGCAGTTGGGAGGATGCGATGACAAGCATTAAAAGGAGGGCTGGCCGGGCGCTGGTGGCTCACACCTGTAATCTTTACTCTGGAGGCAGAGATCAGGAGGATCGCGGTTTGAAACCAGCCTGGGCAAATAGTTCATGAGACCCTAACTCGAAAAAAGACCATCACGTAAAAGGACTGGTGGAGTGGCTCAAGGTGTAGGTCTTGAGTGCAAACCTCAGTACCACAAAAAAAAAAAAAAAAAAAAGGGAAAATGGGGACTCCAGCGAGATTTTTCCTAGGCGGACCTCAGTTTCCCTACTGGAGAACTGGTGCTGCAGGGGTGAACCTTTGTTCAGAGAGCTGTGGGAAGACCCCTCCCCAGAAACGCTCCTCCGGTGGGGCCGACCCCGCTCTCACCGACGCCGCCTCAGGGGAGTCGTGACAGCCACGGGAACAGACTCTACGTCCACCCTAGACCTGTGTCTGGAAGGGGTGGAGCACCCTCCCCAGCTGACGCAATGGCCCCGCCTGTCTTCCCCCAAACGCGCGAAAGTCAGCCCAGCTGGGGAGGGAAGCCGGACCTCTGTTGCTCAACCCCCAGATTCTGGGCGGAGACCCTGACCGCCCACATTGAGCCCCGCTCCAGACGGAGCCCGGACCGCGAGACCTGGTCTCCAGCAGGTCTGCACGCAGACCCCACAACAGGGCACGCCCCGACTCCGGACCGACCTCGACCCCAGACAGTGCCTCATCCATGGGCCCCGCCTCCATCCTTCAGCAGACTGGGGAGGGAACCTGAGGACCCTCTCCTGCCGCGCCCCAGCCCAACGCGCGCGTGTTCTATGTCCACAGACTCCTGCGACGGCGTGGAGTGCGGCCCCGGCAAGGTGTGCCGCATGCTGGGAGGCCGCCCGCGCTGCGAGTGCGCGCCCGACTGCACGGGACTCCCCGCGCGCCTGCAGGTCTGCGGCTCAGACGGCGCCACCTACAACGACGAGTGCGAGCTGCGCGCCGCGCGCTGCCGCGGCCACCCAGACCTGCGCGTCATGTACCGCGGCCGCTGCCAAAGTATGGGGTGGGGGTGGGGAGAGCCTGCTGGAGGGCGGGGGCGGGGCCTGCGGCAGGCGGGTGACCACGCGGATCTGCGCGTGTTTCGGGGCCATAGCCAAGGTACGAGGGCGGGGCTATGAGAGGGGAGGGACTAAGTGGACCTGCGTGTCCTGTATTAGGGGCCGCTGCCGCATAACATGGGGACAAAATCGGTCAGCCCGAGTGCTCAGGAGGGTCTCGCGGATTGGGTGCTGCTGGAGGGGGAGGAACTTGAAGATGGAACCAGAATATGGGGCCTGTAGGTGGAGCCAGAGGGGCGGGACTTGGCAACATAAGGGGTGGGGGTGTGACTCCCGGATGCAATCTGACAGACGGGCTTGTGAATAGGGCGGGGGGGGGGGATTTGATGCGAAGCAAGGGGCGGAACCCGAGACGGGGGCGGAGCCTCACGAGACCCTCCGCGGGCGGGGCGTTTTGCGGGAAAGAGGGTGTGTACCCATCCAGTTAGTGGACGCTGCCGCTCCTCTGACTCGCCCTCGCGCCGGCCCACAGAGTCTTGCGCGCACGTGGTGTGCCCGCGACCCCAGTCGTGCGTGGTGGACCAGACCGGCAGCGCGCATTGCGTGGTGTGTCGCGCCGCGCCCTGCCCTGCGCCCTCCAGTCCTGGTCAGGAGCTTTGCGGCAACAACAATGTCACCTACATGTCCTCGTGCCACCTGCGCCAAGCTACCTGTTTTCTGGGCCGCTCCATCGGCGTACGCCACCCGGGCAGCTGCGCAGGTGAGGTACAAGGTGGGTCCCCAGCCACACGCTCTCCCGGACCGCATGGGCCCTTACCAAGTCTTCACCCTACAGGTGCCCCCAAGGAGCCACCGGAGGCGGAGTCTGAGGAGGAGGAGGAGAACTTCGTGTGAGCCGCTGGCGGCAGGGCCTAGAGCACGAGGCCATTTTATTTATTGCCACAGGAACAGAGTATAATTTATATCACGGACACTCCTTGAAGCTGCTCTGGGAACCCTTGGGATCCCCGAGCGCCCTGACGACATCTTGGAAGGACTGAGAGAAGGAAGCCTAAGAAGGGTCAGTGGCTGAGTCTCCGGGTACTTCCTCTGGAAGCTCCCAGCGTCCATCCTAGGGACCTGCTGCTGCTGGGGAGGACCCCATGCTTTCTGCTTCATTGAGAATGTCTGTTAATTATTGTCAACACCAGGAGCAGCAGGGGGAGAGGGGAACTCCCTTCAGGTGGTACATGCTGAAGGTCCACTTGCCTGCCCAGGCCTGAAGTGAGAAAGGGGTCTGACCTGGGTGTGTGAAAATGCACCTCCATGCACATTGACGGCCCACTGGACATATCTATATCAGACAACCCTTCATGAAGGCCAGGGAAGCTGTACCATGCCCTCCCAGTCAAGAACTCTTACTTCTCTACCATCCCCAGTTCCCCCATACAGCCTGCCAAAGTTCCCAAGAGATGCTCAGTGTGCCCTCTGTGTAGGGTATCATCTGTACCTCCTGACAAAGACCTAAGTTTGGCCATATAACTGCCCAGGGTCTCCCCAACCACCATTCACATGGGTCACCTGGACATTGTGCAATCTCAGATGTTAGTGATCAACATCCACTTCAGAACAGGGTCCTGTCCAGTGGTCCCCAGCCCACTTAGGGACCATGGACCCCATCTGACCTGCAGGTCCAAGATGGGGTGTGAACATTAGGACTTGCCACATGTGTGGCATGCTGAAACCACTCCTATTGCCCTATGCCCTGTCCACAGAACTCTCATTCTCCTGCATCCAACCCTGGCCAAGATTTTAGCTCCAGTTTCCCGATCACCTCTCCTCACCCACCAGCCCAGTTGCAGGTGGTGACCAGCCAGGTGCTGTTCTGAGTCTGTCTCCAAGACTGCTCACCTACTCACCCTCCACTCAGACTGACTGTTGCCTGAAATCATTTTTTTTGTGCCTTCCTGGAGACCAAAGTCTCAGACCAGATAATGGGGGACCCAGCAGAAGGGAGCCCAGTCCCCCAAGTTTGGGGCAAGGAGTGGGAAATCTCGCCTGTCCCCCTCCAGCTCCAGGCTGTGCCTTACTTGTGATACCCAGAGGTGTCCTTGAGTAGGGGCTATAGAGCTGGATAAGGCAGCTTCACCCCTGGGGTCCTGCCTCACCAAAGAAATAAAGACAGAAAAGCCACTATGGGCATCCAGGCCTCAGTCTGCTCCAATTTCTGGACTTTGTGCTGTCCTTCAGGATGGGGATGACCAGCCTGGGGTCTGGGGTGGTGCTAGGGGCCTTAGAGGCATCCAGAGAGAGACACCCAGTATATCCTTGGGCCCAGTGTCCACCTCCAGGGAACAGAGCAGCAGTCAGTAAGGTACCAAAGTCGGTGGAAGGAAGGAAAAGAGGCTTTTATGAGGTTGGGGAGGGATGGTGACAAGATGGCTCAGGCCACCCACCCCTAAGATGCCAGCCACTGGGGTTCCAAAGTGAAAACCTGGCCTCAAAGGATCAGGGGATGTGACAACAACAATATCAATAATAGAGATCACCCTACTGGCTAGGATTTGCTGTGTGCTGTGGTTTTCAGAGAACAAGGACAAGCTTTGATGGGAGGCCAGGCCAACCTGGGATTCCACACTGGGGACAGGGAGACCCCAATCTGGTGCCTCTCGCCCCTGCTCAGGGAACTGCATGTGTTCCAGCCTCAGTTTCCCCATCTGTCTGCATCCAGGCAGGGGTACTACAATTGCAAAGGTTTGGAAGCTGGCAGTAGGTGAGTGAGGACTGATGGGTGGCAGGTGGGAGGAATGAATCCAGAGGGGCATGGCAGCAGGGTGGGAAGTGGGAAAGTCCTGGGCAAAGGGAGCACAGGCCGGTGTTGGGGGCCAAGAGCTGACCACAGTGAAGCCAGTCCCTTTCAGTGTCTGATTATTTAATTAATGTGTTACTGGGTTGGATTTGGCTCTTTTCATTTGGAATGGAGGCTCCTACTCACAAACACTGGGTCCCCAGGTTTCTGCATACAAGCTGATGGGCATAACTTGCCATTCATGTGAGTACCAGTGGGCTGGGGTTTAAGTAGCCCAGACCAGGAGTCCTGCAGTCCTAGATGGGGGGCTGCCCCGAACCACCTTCCAGATCCAGGCAACGAAGGCTGACACCTGTGTATACACGTCGGGGGTCTTGGGGTCCCCACACCACAGGCCTGAGAAGGAGACAAGGCCATGGGCCCGGCTCCCACACACCAGGGGGCCCCCAGAGTCTGCCTATGGTGAAAAGAGACAAGATCAGGAGCTGCTCTTCCCCCTACAAGTACATCACAGCCCTCCCTGCCCCGGAACCGGTCCACAGCTACCTAGTGTTCATCCTCACATGCTCACTCTTTTGTTTTGGTATTTTAAGATAGTCTCCTGCCAGGCACTAGTGGCTCACGCCTGTAATTCTAGCTACTCAGGAGGCAGAGATCAAGAGGATCGAGGTTGAAAGCCAGCCTGGGCAAATAGTTCATGAGACTCTATCTCAAAAAAACCTATCACAAAAATAGGGCTGGTAGAGTTACTCGAGATGTAGGCCCTGAGTTCAAACTCCACTATCACTAAATAAATACATAAATAAGAATAAACTCTCAGTCTCCTATGTAGCCCAGGTTGGCCTCAAGCTCTTTCCTCCTGCTTCAGCCTTCTGAGTGCTGGGATTACATAGGCATGTATGCCTGGCCCCTCATGCTCTTAAAGCAAAAATTTAACTCGCCTCTGCCTTAAAGAGAAGGATGCAGCCTCCCACCCTCTTCTTTGTTCTCCTCGCTCCCTAATTCCACACCAGCTCTTTCCCTTTGCAGGTCCTAGAGACCTGTGTCCGCCCTCTACTGGACACTGCAAGTATGTAGTCTTTGTGCAATGCTTAGCCTGTACAGCTGTGTACAACTCCAGAGCCATCTCTGTGTCCCCAGATCTCAGGGCTCCTTCATGTCAGCTCCAAATTGCTCTCTTCAGTTAGGCTTCCCCAAATATCCACACTAAAATCCCTAATCCCACCACACTAATTGCTGTCTGGAATCAGGAACTGCTTCATCCAGTCCTGTTTCTGATCCCTACTGGACACTTTATATAAAGAGAAGCAAGGGCATTTTGTGCAGTGTGATCCTCATCAACTCCCAGCCCTTCGTGAGTCTCAGCTTCACCATCTAGTCAAACGTTAGTGGGACCCAGTTCCCAAGTCAGCCCCTGCCTGACTCTGACCCCCTCTATGGGCCTCAGTTTGCCTGTAGAATAAGCAGATGGGGCAGAGAGTATCTTACCGAGCAGAAGCCACGCCTCCATCTGTCTCCACTGTGGGTGCATAGCATGGCTGGACTCAATTGGCCCTGCCAAGAACTATTGCAGACATCCAAGTCCAGCACACGGACCTTGGCCTCCATCAGCCCAGGCGGAGGGTCCTCAAAATCTGATATAGAGCCCCAGCCAGCCACATGACACAGCGTCCCAGCTGCAGGTGGCTGGGCACCTCTCCCTGGCAGCTGCAGCAGCCCCACAGCTGGGCCCAGTACTGCTGAGCCATTCAGCTGCAGGGAGAGGCCCGGTTCAGGACTGCCTCCTGCTCCTCTTCCTCCCACTCACCAAGCTGTCCCCATCACCCCCCCATACACTTCAGTGACTCACTCATGACACCTGATTTTGATTTGTGGAATTGATAGCGGCCATTGTGAGCTCAGTGACAGGCCCTATATCCTTTGCCCCCTGCCCACTATACTTTGCTCACCACTGGTTGTCCCAGGCCCCATCAGCCCCACTCGCAGCTTACCCGCAGCAGGCAGATGTCGTTGGCATGGGTTGTGGGCTGGTACTCGGGATGCTTTACCACAGCTGCAATGCTGAACACCTGCCGAGTGGGCTCCGAGGTGTGCAGTGAATGGGCCCCCAGCACTACCAGGCCTGTGCGGGGGTCCCTGTGGGGAAGTGACAAGATGGGATGGGGGCTGCTGGTTGGGACCTCTGTCCCCCTCAGAATCACAGGGCTTATAATCTGTTCAGTGCCAACAACAGCCCCAAGATGATCACCACACTGCTAAGGTTTCCATCTCAACTACAGTAACATCCCAATTGTTTCAATATTAATTAGAATCATTATAAAAATTGTTAGAGCCAGATGCCAGTGGCTTATGGCTATAATCCTAACCACTTGAGAGGCTAAAATCAGGAGAATCAAGGTTTGAGGCCAACCCGGGCAAATGGTTCAAGAGACCCCCCCATCTCCAAAATAACCAGAACAACAAAAAAAGATACTTTCAATGAACATAATATGAATTGTATTTGTTACAAATCCCACTTCACCATAATGCTAATGACAATAATTATGTTAATTTTAATACTAATAACAACAAGCTTAAAACCAAGGTGATGATAGTTCTAAGCCCTAGTGCAAAGGTTGGGTCTTGCCCTGTCCCTGCCATGTCCCTGCTATGTCCCTGCTGTCCTGGAGTCCATCCTGCAGGTGACCTGCAGATCTCACCTGTTCCTGAAACAGTGAGCAGCAGAGACAACCCAGTGGGCCCGGAACAGGAAGCCTCCACAGTGGTGCTGGCCTTCGAAGCTCACGGATGCCATGTAAGGCCGGGAGAGGGGCAGCACCTCTTGGCCTCCAATGATCTGGGCTCTCTGGGAGCCTGTGGTGGGGGCAGCCATGTAAGGGACCAGGGCAGGGAAACGGGGTAATGGGGTGGCTCTGGCATGGGTCAGGCCTGAGGTCCAGACAGTGTAGGGGAAAGGCAAAGGGAGACCAGAGAGCAAGCACAAGGTAGAGGAGCCTAGATGAGCCCCCTGCCTGTGCCAGGAAGGGACTCCTGGGCCATAGGATGCCTGAATCTGGGTGGCTGAGAGCTCCGCTGGACCCCTCATGTGCCCATCTTTGGCTGTTCTGCCTGACTGAGCACCTGGACCAGGTGGGGGCTGGGGTTCTGGCCAGGGTCACCTGGGGTGATCTGGATCAGGATGCAGGTGTTCATGAGGGGGTCTGTGGTCCTCACCTGGGGGCCTTGTAGGAAGCATCAGGGCAGCGGCCACAGTCAGCAACAGGAGTCCCCAGGCCCCAGTTCCAGGAACCATGGCTGTCACAGACCAGTGTCTCCCTTGTGAAGTCTGAGTGCCGTGGCCTCTGCCCTCACCAACGGAGGAGGAACCAGGCTGTGGTCTGTGGTTGAGAGTCCAACCAGCAGACACGCACACTCCCCCACCCCACCCCACAGGACAGTATTTCTGAGAAATGGATGATTCGAATGTCCCAGGTTACTACCCATAGTGGTCATGAGTACGTGGGAGACCAAGAGCAGGAAATGGAGGGGAGAGCAGGGACTCTGTGGGCCACACGCACCCTCGGGAATTCACTCACCTCCCCAGTGCCTCAGTGTACCCCACATCCACCCGACTGAAGATATACAGGGAGTTTCCTGCAGTACCCAGCACAGTCACACTCACAAGTGTCTGCACTGCCCATCACCCCTGGATGGGTAGGCCCTACCTGTGTCCTGCTGGCCATGTAGCCCTACGCAAGCCTTGTGACTCTCCATCTCAGTTTCCCCATCTGCAGCTCTGGCAGTGAACAGTGGCCTTGGGAGCCTGCACCTGCCAGCTCCTGAGTGTCACTGGTCTTTATTATCATTGCTCCTGGGGAGACCTGTGGGGCCCCATCCAAGGGCCTGACATGGAGGTTGGGGGGGTCTTTCTGCAGGAGGCAGGAGCATGGGAGGGTCTTGGAGGAAAGTTTGATTCTTAGATAGGGTCTTGGATGCCCTGTGAAGCCTGTGTTTGAGGTCAGCCTGCCAGGTGCAGTGCTGCAGCATGTCCACATCTAAGGTGGACACACAGGTGTGGTCATCAGGGGGCAAGGTCACCACACAGCTCCAGAAGGGGCACTGCACCACTACCCTGCGAGAGAGCACCGGGTGGCATGGGTGAGGCTGAGGCACACAGCTTCCTCCACCCTCAGGGAGCTGTTGGCCGGGTCTCAGTCAAATTCAGCCCACATGCACCCCAGTGGCTCTTCTGGGGCTGAGGCATAGGTTATGGAGCGGGTGAGGGCCGGGTGGAGTGTGGGGAGAGGCAGGTATTGAGTGCAGGTAAGCAGAGAACCTGAGACAGGGAGACAGAAGAGAGACAGAGAGAAACAGGCAGAGATAAAGAGGGGAGAAACAGAGAGAAGAGAGACAGACAAGAGGGGCAGAGACAGGGGCTGGGGTATGGCTCAAGTGGTAGAGCAGCAGTCTTGCAAGCCTAAGGCCCTGAGTTCAAACCCCATACTGCCAAAAAAAAGAGGGGCAGAGACAGAGTAGAAGAGAGACTGAGAAGACAGAGTGATAAGAGAGGCAGAGGCAGAAGAGAGACACAGACAGAGAGATAAGAGGCAGAGGCAGAAAAGAAGAGAAACATACAGACAGGAAAAGACAGTCAGGTGCCAGTGGCTCACGCCTGTAATCCTAGCTACTCAGGAGACAGAGATCAGGAAGATTGCAGTTCGAAGCCAGCCCTGGCATAGTTTGTGAGACCTCATCTTGAAAAACCCTTCACAAAAATAGGGCTGGTGGAGTAGCTCAAGGTGAAGGCCCTGAGTTCAAGCCCCAGTAGAGGGGAAGAAAAAGAGGTGGGGGGAAGAGAGAGGCAGAGACAGAGAAAGGACAGAAACAGAGACAGCAAGGGAGACAAAGAGATAGAAACAGAGAGGAGGAGAGAAAAAGAAAGATAAGGCTGGCGGAGTGGCTCAAGTGGTAAGAGCACCTGCCTAGCAAGTGTGAGGCCCTGAGTTCAAACCCCAGTACCACCAGAAAAAAAAAAAAGACAGAAGGAGAGACAGAGACAGGGATAGAGAGATAGAATAGGCAGAGATGGAGAGGAAGAGAGTGAGCAGGAGAGGGAGGGAGAGAGAGAGAGATGAACATAAAGAGGCAGAGGCACAGAGAGAAACAGAGAGAGAGACAGAGCTAAAGCCAGAGAGTATGAGGGTGGGGTGGGAGGGGAAAGGAATGCTGTAAGGAGCTCAGAGGACACAAATGATGCTCTCTGGAATCCAGGCTATCTTTAGCTCCTTCATGGTAAGCTCTGTCCACCAGCCCTTGTTCCATTTCTGCCTGCCTGGACCACTGTTGCAGGATGTTTCAGGGGACTCTGCAGAATGCAGGGGGAGGCCCACCAGACCACCTGAAAGCTACTGGGGTTCCTGCTGTGGGAAGCTAAGGGCTGGAACAGCCTGGATCTGCAGTCTACCTCATAGGCGGTCAGACCCCTCATCAGACCCCTCACCTGCTCACTTGCAGTGCACAGCAAGCAGACATGTTTTCTCACTCGGCTATGGAGCCTAATTACAGTTTGACATTGACTTGGAAAACCAATGAATGCTTCTGTCTGCTCTGGTCCCCTGGGGCTATCTGACTGTGGCTGTGTCCCCAGGGTTCAGACTGTGCCAGTGGATACTGTTGAACAACCAACCACACAGAAGACTCATGAATTGTCAAGCCAGCACCCTGGGTCCCCCAGATCTGTGTTTACACTCACTTTCTCAGCTTCCCTCAAGAGGGGAGAGATGGTCACGGAGGCAGAGATGGGAAAAAGCCTCCAAAGCCACGTACCCCACGGGGATAGGGAAGAGCTTTACCTATAGGGAAGATATAGGTGTGTGGGATTCCATCTACCTCCCCGCTCCCACTCCAGGATGTCAGCATGTTTCTTTCCCTGTCTTACTGCTGGGAAATAGACCCAGAGAGGTTAAGCTTCTTGGTCAATGCCACACAGCAAGGGAGTGAGGGTTCAGGGTTACAGCCTTAGGGTGGCTCCTATTGTCTCTGGGACTGATTCTACCCAGAGTCTTCATTTCCTTCCCCTTTGGTAAGCAGTTGTGAAACAAATAACCGCCCTTAATAACCCAAATAACCAAGCTCCCAGCAGCCCTGACGGGTGGACTGGTTGGGGGTCAGTGTACCTAATTCCTAAATTGAGGCCCAGAAAGGGAGGCTGTGTCTGGGCTACACAGCAGAAGTCTCAGACTCAAAACTCCTGGACTATGATCCTGGAAGTTCTTCCCATGAGGATTCAAGTGGTTTCCCTGTTCTTGGACACCAGTCTATGAAGACCCAATCAATGATGACAGCTTGTTTTGTTTTGATAGGTTGGAACTCTATATATTGGGGAAATTAAATGTTATTCATGTAAATTTCATTCCTGAGCAACTATCAGAAAATACTGGCACCCTGGGGAGCAGTTTCAATTCTGAGATGAACCCAGAGCTTCATAATGCTCCACCACCAAGCCCCACTCCAACCCTGAGTTCCATTCTGCAGGATAGCAGGGTGGCTAGTCCACAGCGATTTTTTTTTCTTGCAGTATTGAGGTTTGAACTCAGGTCCTACACCTTGAGTCACTCCACCAACCCCCCCCTTTTTGGTGATTTTTTTTCTTTTTTGCAGTACTGGGGCTTGAACTCAGGGCCTACACTTCAAGCCACTCCACCAGCCCTTTTTTGTGATGAGTTTTTTTGAGATAGAGTCTCATGAGCTGTTTGCCCCAGCTGGCTTCCAATAGCGATCTTCCTGATCTCTGCCTCCTGAGTAGTTAGGATTACAGGTGTGAGCCACCACGTCCAGTTCACAGCAATTTGTTATATGTTTTATGAGGAACTAGAATGGAGGAGCTTGGACTTGAGCATGGTAGCCTATACCTGTAATCCCAGCTACTTGGGGGGCAGAGCCATCTGGACAAAAGCTCTAGAGCCTATCTGAAAAGCCAATGAAAAGCAAAAGGGCTGGGGGTGTGGCTTGAGTGGTAGAGCACCTGCATACCAAGCAGAAGGCTCTGAGTTCAAGTCCTAGTATTGCCAAAAAATTAAATTAACAAAGTAGAAAATATTCTTGCCCTTTGGAACATTTGGGGGAAACTTGGGACGGAAAGAGCAACCAGGGCAGGCAAGCAAGAGAGGGAAGGGGGTGGAATTTTAACTAGGACCCAACAGAACCAATAGCAATGAAAAAGGTGAGGAAGGCATTCTCAGGGCTGTACCACTGGGGCACAAACTGGGTGTGGGATGGGGAGAAGTGAGGGAGAGATGGGGTGATGTTGGCTCAGCTTGGTTTTGAGAGTCCTCAGGACACTGGGGAGCTACAGAGGAGAACAGTGGCAGGGCAGGGCAGGTGGCTCTTGTGGAACAGCAACAGCGTGAGATGGGGATGGATGCTGGGAGGCCAGGAAGGCTATGGCAAAAATGTGGGTGGGGGCTCAAGTCCTGAGCAGGAATCAGGGTTGGGGTCTCTGACCCAGGTATGGGAAGGCAGAGCTCAGTGGGTTCAGCACCTCAGAGGATGTCTGGAGGCAGCTGAGTCTTCAAGGTGGGTTGGAGCAGGACTACGGGCATTGCCGTGGTACGGCAGCATCCTAAGGATAGCAGGCAGTGGAAGAGTGGGATGCAGGAGATCTAGAAGCATCCCAGACCAGGAGGCAGGGAGAAGCCGGGCAGGAGTGGTAGTGCATTGTGGGTGAGCAAAGTGAGGTGGTGGAGTGAACATGTGGACCCCAGGAAAGTCCACCTTGTCTGTCCTCCACAGCTTGGCCCAGCTGCTCCTTGTATTTCTCGCCCACGCTTCCACACTTGCCAGGCTTAGTCCCCAGCTCTTGCCTCCAGGTAGGTTCCCCTCCTGCCCCCAAGGTCTTGAGAGCTGGGGGAGGACTTTGGCTTCTGCTCTGGGGAGAGGCAGATGTCCTGGGAGGTTTATGGCTGCAGGGGTTGAAATACTCCAAGTATCTTCTTTCGGTCCTCATGGCTTCCTGTAAACCCTCCTGGTTTTTTGTTTGCTCGTTTATTTTGTTTTATTTATTTTCTAGTGTTACTGGCGATTGAACTCAGCGCCCTGAACTTGTTAGACAAGTGCTGTATTACTTTTTCTATGCCCCATCCCTTTTTGCTTTAGTTTGCTTTATTTTTGAGATAGAGTCTCATGCTTTTGCCCAGAGCTGGTCTTGAACCACCATCCTTCCTGCTTTTTTGTTTTGTAATCCTAGCTACTCAGGAGGGAGCGATCAGGAGGATCATGGTTTGAAGCCAGCCCTGAACAGTTTGAGAGACTGTATCTTGAAAGAACCCATTACAAAAAAAGGGCTGGCAGAGTGGCTCAAGTGGTAGGAGCACCTGCCTAGCAAGTGTGAGGTCCTGAGTTCAAACCCAAAACACAGATGCACAGGGACAGAACAAAAAAAAAAGCTACTCATGTGTTACTTTGAGTGTCCATTGTAGCAGCCAGAAAACTATGGACCTCAAACTCTGGCCCCCAGATTGTTGCTGTAAATAAAATTTTATTAACACATAGCCACACCTATGCACTTGCATATTGCTTTTGGCTAGTTTTGAGCTGCCATAGCAGAGTACACAGTCCTTCCAACAGAGACTGGTCAGTAGTGCTGAAAATATATGACTTGGCCCTTTACAGAAAGTTTGCTAAACCCTGAGCATGTGCTGGGCAGTGTTCCAAGCTCTTTGAACATAGTTAACTCTCCCAGTAGTCTGACGAGGTGGGGAAAGGGAGGCCAGGGAGTTTAAGAAAGACCCTGGGTCACAGAGGTCCTGGAAAGGTAAGCTGAGCTACAAGTCCAAGGCCTTGATGTTTCTCAGGCTCCGTTTCTTTAAATTCACTAATTCATCTCATTGTCTTAAATACCAAGATGAATTCATGACCATTATTTTTTAAAAAGGAGGGAAGATGCAAATGCCTACAGAGGAAAGGCATCAATGTCCCTTCCCCAGTCTGGGGTACATCCTCCCATATCCCGTTTATGGAGTGCCTGCGGAGCAGAACCATTCTGTCAGACAACGGAGGAGTTTGGGAGACTCCCTCTCTGTTCCGTGTCCTTGTAAGAACCCTGGAAGTCCACTGTGTACAAGTCCAGAGAGACAGGCCCTGCCTCTCTCCCGCTGTTGCTCCCCAATGCCTTCAGGCCAAAGCTTGACTTCTTTTGCTGCCTCCACTGGTCCCTCACTCTGGCTACGTATAAGGGAGCAGCGTGGGGCAGAGCCATGTCCAGCTCCAGGTCCAGCCCCCAGCAGGTGCTCACACCTCACACTGGCTGCTGCTGGCCCTCCTCCACCGCACACGGCCATCCCGGCCCCGCCTCAGGGCCTTTGCACTTGCTGTGCCCTCCACCTGCCTCTCCTCTGTTGCTGGGGACCTGGAGGAGGAGTGGGGCTCGCCTAGGTGCCAGCTCCTGGGAGCGGCCTCCGGCACCTCCCCAGGTTCCCTCTCCCTGGGCCCGCCGCTCCTGGATCCTCAGGACTGGAGTTTGCTTCCCATCCGACTTGGCGTCAGTGTCGCCCAGTGACCCGAGAGTGGGGAGGGGCGGGACTCCGTCTGCGAGTCTCGGGGTCGCAACCTCGCAGTGCCGAGGGCTGCGCAGCGCGGCGTGGCGCCGGGCGGGCGGCGGGCGGCCGGCAGGAGGCGCGCGCGGGCACGCGGGGCGCAGAGAGCGCGGAGAGGCGGCGCGCGCACGAGCCCACCCGGCCGCGCCCGGACAATACAGCCGCGCGGGGCGATGCCCGCGCCGGTGCCGCCCCCACGCCGCGCAGCCCCGGCCGCCAGGCCTTAGCCGCCGGCCCCGCGCCTCTGTCCCACGCCCAGCACCGCGACCCAGCGCACCTCGCGGGAGATGGAGTAAGTAGGCGGCTGCCCGCACCCGAGGCCCCTCGTCCGCCTCCGTGGGGGCGTCGCGGCCCCGTGGGGACACGGAGGCGACGAGGGCGTCTGGCTTCGGCCAGCTGGAGTGGGGAGGGGTTGGGCAACCTGGCTGGGCCACGCGCCCCAAGGCCTCTCTGCCAGGGGTACCTGGGCGGTAGCAGCGGGGCCTCCAGCACGCAGAGGAGGGAGGCCCGCGCCTGCCCGCCCGCCACCGCTAGGCCACCTCCGCCACCTGTGGGTGGGCATCCTCCGGAACCAGAACGAACCTTCCCCAAATTGCAACGGTCGGCCATTGGCTCAGCCACCCCTCCCCCGCCGGCCTGGGTTCGCGGCTTCTGGCGCCCCGGACGCGCACCCAGACGGTCCTTCCTCTGTCCTGCCTTCCTCAGGGCTCACTGGGGTCCGGGACCACCCTCTTCCCTTGCCCCCAGAGGCCGGAGTTCTTAGTTTTGTGCAGTCCCCAGCTGCTGCTGGAGGGAGGGGCTTCTCCGTATGGCGTGGGAAGGGAGTACTAGGCATTTTCCAGCCCGGGTCTGACCCCCCCTACCCCAAAAGTGGCCCCACGAAGGGGACCAGATGGTGTGGTTAAAAGTGTGGGCTGGCCCAGTTTGGAATCCCTGGACATTTTTCGGGCCAGTGGGCAGCAGAGGATTCTTGTACACAGCAGGTGCCGAATAAGTGTGCATGGTCATTCAGGCACATGGTTCCCTCTTCCCCGTATGAGGATGTTCCTCAGGCCCCTCACTCCCACAGGTGGCCAGGGAGGTCCTGGGGTATGTGTATGGACAGGGGTCAGGGAGACTTCTTGGAGTCACAGACCTGCCAGGTTTGTGACAGGCAAGCAGTGCCCTACCCTGGGCCCAGGTCCCCACCCCAGCCAGAGCCTGGACATGGAGGTCTAGCCAATCTGGTCTGGCTAGTGGCCGCTCCTTCTGTTCTTCCCTCTGGGTGTGTTTTTCTCCAGGGATTCACCCGTGACCTACCACACCCTAGGCCCACCACACCCTAGGCCCACCACACCCTAGCCCCGGTAGAAGCCATCATCTCCCCCGCCCCCCCTGCCCTGCTTGGGGAGGCAGACACCCGTCTGTGTCCTCTGCTTTGGAAAACCCAGACAAAGGCCTGGCTGCTCCCCCACCCGGCCCCGGGAGCCCAGCCAGGGACTCAGGGGAGCCAGGGCCTGGACTTGCCTGTTCCACCTCCCAGGCTTGTTTATCTGCTCTGCTCTCCTGTCCCAAGGGAGTCTCTGGGCCTCCTGACAGTAGGGCCTGGCAGGGTGTGGTCATGGGGAGGGGGCTGCTTGGAGGAGGTGATGAGGAAAACTCCCACCCAGGATGGCTGATCCAGTGAAGGGAATTTCTGATTGGGTCCCATTGTTCCCCTTTCCATCATCCCCGTCTTTTCTACAGGGGATCCTGAGGCTCAGAGAGGGACAGCTGATGTACCAGGGTCACACAGCACACAAAGAACCCCTTGGTGCCTGCTGTGCCGTGGGTCATTGTGGCCTTAAGCCCTTCAGTGGGTCAGCCTCAGTATCTAGGTTTTCTGGGTGCAGATGGGGCTTGGCCTTGACGGTCCATGAACAGCCACAAGAAAAAACTCTCTACGTGATCCTCCAGTGGCTGTAGGTGGGAGAGACTCCATCTGGTGCTGCCCTGTCTTGGACACCTATCTCTCACTTATTGTCCTTGTCCATGGGGCCAGAGCAGGTTTCAGGCACAGAGAGAGGCAGGATTGCTGGATTGTGCTCACTCAGCTTGCTCGGTTTCCGAGGGTTTTACGTCCGTGACACAGGAGACGATGGTGGTGTATCATGGTGATGAAATGCATTTAAGATATTAAGGACATTTACATTTTGTTAATTTAAGGATGAAATTCATTTCTGTTCATTTAAGGATGTAAGGATTTAATGAAAACTAGCTTAGCAAGGTTGAGGGAGGCAGAGGGAGGTACAGCCCTGGTGATAGGTCTCAGGAGCTGGGGTCTCTGATAGGGAAAGGTTGTGTGGTTCAGGGTGGGCACTGGCCTGGGGGTCGGATAGTAAAGATGAGGATACCCAGGCCCTGGCCGTGCTGGCTGCACCTTCCACATTCCTCCTCTGTCCTGGAGATTTTCAAAGAGACTTCTCAACTTGGTGCTAACTAGGTCTTTAGTGCTCTTTCACACTTGCTATCTCCTAGGTGAAAAGGCAGCCTATCTAGTGATAACTGAGTTAATACCAAGCTTAGTTTTCATTGTATCTGTTTTATGCTGGTTTGTGTTTGCTAGGCTACCAATTCTGATTTTCTCTTTGTAACAATGTAAACTTTCTGTAGAACAGCAGGGGAATTTGTTTGAATTGTGAATATTTGTGTAAAGAATTTACAGATATGCTAGAGAGGTGGGAGCCTGGGAAAGTGGCTTGAGAAACATAGGCATACTTTGATTACTTAATCATTTAGTGGATGCTTGCTCTTTCCCTGGCCCTGTTCTAAATATCTTCTTGCTTGATTCGTTAGTGGTCTGTGAGGTGGGGAAACTGAGGCCACACAGCTGCAAAGGTGAGGGTGGGATTTGCACCTTTAAGTGGTGTGGTGAGTCTGGAAGGTTTTTGGTCCTTTCCTGTGCCTGAGGGCTGTGGTCTGGTGGATCAGGGTATCATCCATGCATTGGCTCTTGGTTAGTTTTCTGAGGCACACAGAACATGGCCTTGGCAGGGTCTTGGCTCCTGAAAGCATCTGTGGTCTCCTCTCCACCCTCCTATGACTGCTGGTTTGGGTGTGGGGACCTCTTTGAAGTGGGAGCATACTGCTCATCTTCACTGCTAGAATGAGGAAATGACTCTACCCAGCCGCCTCCAGGAGGCACGGCTGAGGACAGGGCAGCCAGGGCTTCATGTGCTGTCCACTGTGGGCATTTCTACCTCAGCCCCATGGCCAAGTCCATTCTGAGGGTCTCAGTTGTTGGTTGTTTTTTGTTTGTTTGTTTGTTTGTTTTGTTTTGTTTTTGAGACTCTGTAGCTTAGGCTAGCCTCAAACTCACAATCCTCCTGCTTCAGCCTCCCAAGTGCTGGGATTTAGGGGTGTGTGCTTAACTATACCCCACCCAAGGTCTTAGATTTTGGTGCTGTGAAATGGATTGATGTTCTTTTTTTTTTTTTTGGTGGCACTGGAGTTTGAACTCAGGGCCTCATATTTGCTAGGTAGGTGCTCTAACTGCTTGAACCACTCCACCAGCCCGTTTTTGTGTTGGGTATTTTTGAGATAAGGTCTTGCTTTCACTTTGCTCGGGCTGGCTTTGAACAATGATCCTCCTGATCTCTGCCTCCTGAGTAGCTAGGATTACAGGAGTGAGCCACCAGCACCCAGCCTTGAAGTTGATGTTCTTTGAAAACATGACCTTTCCAGGCTGGTGGAGTGGATCAAGTGGTGGAATACCTGCCTTGCAAGGCATTCTCAGGCCGGAGTTCAAAACCTAGTACTACCACCAAAAAAAAAAAAAAAAAAAAAAGCATGACGTTTCCTTACGTCTTTTCTGGAAACTCCTCAGCCCCCTGCAGGGTTAGAGCAGTGCAGAGAAGGTTTCCTGGTCCATCCCACCATATGTCTTTTCTGTGAAGGATGTTCAAGTGTTTACAAGGCAGGCAGAAAAGTGCACTTGGTGGGGGAGATGGGCATGTGAAAAGGCCCAGTGGTGGGAAAGCATTGGAAGAGGAGAATGTTCTTTAGTTTGTGATTTTGGGGGCAGATCCTGCTGGGATTGGTGACTGAGCAGAAAGGAGCAAGGATTGACCTGGGCACTGGGGGTGAGATTTGGGGGAACAGGCTGAGGCTGTGGGGCAGCTCTGCCAGAACCAGAGGGGACAGGACACCTGTCTGGGTGGGCAGAACTTTGAGGTCAGGAACAGCCTGATCAGGTGGAGTTGGACCAGCCCTGGACACAGCAGGAGGCAGTCTGGTGCCTGATATGCTAGACTGGCCCCTCCTGTTGTGGGAGGAGGTAGCATGGAGGTCTGATGTTTTCAAAGTTCTCTTGCCAAGATTCATAGCAAGAGCCCAGGGACAGTCAGAGCCTGGATCAGGCTGGTGATCAGGAAAGGCCAGGACCTGGGAGAGGCCAAGACTTAGGGAAGGACCAGAGTGAAGGTAGCAGGCACAGGTGCATGGACACAGGAGCTATAGAGGGGCAGGGTTAGGCCTGGAAACCCAGCCTAGGGGCAGGGAGGACAGTGACACAGGGCATTGAGGGCCAGAGAGTCCAGAGATTCTTGTCACCAAGTGACAGGCTGATGCCCTGTGTCCATTTATGTTCTTATCCTCTGACCATGGGAAGTTGCAGGGCAGGACCAGCAGAGCCTTGGGATACCACCGATGGTGGGCAGGACCTCAGCCTGGCTCAGCCTAGCCGTTAGTGGGAAGATTGGCACTTTACATATATGTGGAAAAACACACATATATACATGTCTATGTATATATATACATGACTATATATATATATATACACACACACATATATATACACACATATGTATATGTATATATATTTCATCATGTCTTTATTGAGATATAATTCACATAACCCACAATCTACCTGTTTAAAGTATATGATTCTGCTGGGCACTGGTTGCTCATGCCTGTAATCCTAGCTATTTAGGAGGCAGAAATCAGGAGGATCACTGTTTGAAGCCAGCCCCCAGCAAAGTTTGTAAGACCCTATCTCAAAAAAAACCCATCCCTAAAAAGGGGCTGGCAGAGTGGCTCAAGCAATAAGAGTGCCTGCCTAGCAAGTATGAGGCCCTGAGTTCAAACCTCAGTGCTGCCTAAATAAATAAATAACCAAAGCAAAACGGACTGGAGGTATGGCTCAAGCAGTAGAGTGCCTGGTTTGCAAGCTTAAAGTCCTGAGTTCAAACCCATCTCACCAAAAATAATAATAATAATAAAGTATATGATTTGGTAGTTTTTAGTACAGGTCAAGCATTCTTAATCTGAAAATCC